TTCATAAAGTTAGCATAAAGTTACTGACATGGCTAGCTGGACAACAGCCGGCGGGAACCGGCAAAATACTACTACACCGCTAAAACAGAGTCTGTCGACATCAATATCATACATTCATGGCACTTGAAATGTTTGTCGGTACGGGTTGTCAGTCGTTGCACTAATGATACTTTTCGTTAAAGAGCACACATTAGATGTTACTCACAAGTCTAACAGAAAAGTAGAGAAATGTTTCTTCCTCCAGCAACCCAGCACCAGACTTTAAATACGTCACACGTGCCAGACTCGGCCTATTACCAGTTCTACCATCCAGGGTGACTTTTATTCATTTCCTGCTATTTTCCCCATGCCAACCCTTCCCTTAGATGCAGGATAGAAACGGATTACATGACTGCTCTTTTATTAAATGACACATTTACACAACATTACTGGCATTCTCATGGAAACACTGAATAAAGCAGCAAACATTAAGTCCAGAAAAAAATGTTCAAAGCAGCAGTAAGTGAAGATAAAAGACCCAACAGCAGCTGTGCATGAAGTTCAAGTTACTAATAAATAATCACACAACATTCATGAACATATACAGTTTGTTAATTTGAAAGCAATTTTGACTAAAAGACTCAAATGTCACATACGTTATTCCTGTGCCCAAGAACAGTTAAGTCTGTATTATCTGTCCTAAAGCTTTAAATCAGAGACAATCCATAGATTAACACAAGGGGTACTGAAGTTATAGGCTATAGCTGAAGTTACTTTGAGCCACTAAATTATTGCAGTAACCCCAAAATCTACAGTAGCTGTGTAGAGTACCCCTTAACAGATCTCATCCAGATTTTTAATTGGATATAAAGCTTAAGATGTGAAACGTTCATTTTGATGTAAGAAATTACACAAACATTTTATGGCCCCAGAGCCTCATTCATTGTTATGGAGCAAACTGGGATGATATTGCACATTTTAAGGTTCTTCCTTTGGTTTCCAACAGGAATAATAAATGTGGATTCTTAAAAAGGGTTGGGTTCTCCTTTAAATGCACAACCCATGATTATAATATAGTTTTCTATCCTCAAAGCATCTGGTGCAGAATAATAACAGGCTTAAAGGATAAATATATAAGTCATTATTGAAGCCTATTGGGGACTTGATTAAGATGATCATGTACTTAACAAAAAAAACATGCCTTGAGGAAATGTGAGGAAATGTAATGAAATAAACTCACTCAGAGGGAACCAGCTCAGCTGAAGGGCAAACAGAGAATGAGCTCAGGACACAGAACAAAGAACACTCAAGGCACCTGTGTGAGCTGCCCAATCAGCACACCTGTTCTCCTGCTGCTCTTTATCCCAGCAAAGTGAAGCCAATTAAAAAGAAAATGCAGTAATCCAATTGAAATATTGATGTGTCATCTAAACATTAAATCTGTGAACTGTACTCCAGCATAGTGTAACAAAAACAGGTATCAAGATTAGTGATGCTGTTTATGCCAAATTCATTCCCCACCTATGTCATGTAAATTCAAAATAGTAGAATCAGACAATTTTTGTCTCTTTTTATGTGGCAGTAGTGAAAATGGGGGAGGATGTCCCCTGAATATAGACTGAAGTTGGGGCTAAGCTTCAAATGTTTACAATCTCTGGCTCTGCCCCTATCAACTACTGTGTAGGAAACTTTGACAAACTCTTCATTTTAACAAAGATGAGGGTTATATTGTTCAATTTCAGCAGTTACATCTCCCATGTGAGGCTTTGACAATGCTTCTGTGGCAAAGATTATATTGTTGTTGAATGATAAAAATACATAACCAAGTAATGCTATGTGTTATTTATAATGAGGTGGTCTATGTATAGAAAGCTAGTGCAGCAGTAAACAGTCACTTATGTTGGTATCTGAACAAAAAACCTCTGTCATGTTTCAACTTTTTAGAGAGACCGCAGAAAAAAAAAACATCTGTGAGAAAATTATGGACAAGCACACTGGGAGAGATGCTATCTTACAGTTTAGAACAACTTGTGGTAAACGAAGAGTGAACTTGTGCAGTATTTATTGGGGAAAAAAAGTATGTGTATAAGCAGAGAGTGCAATTAGACCAAAACCAGCTGTTTACAAGAGATGTTTTTGTATCAGAGGTCAGGAAGTCCTTGTGAATATCCTTTTTTTCTCAGGGGTGGAAACTGGCAAACTATTTTCTCCATGGAATTAAGTTTTTGAGAGAGTGTAATTACAGCTAATATACACAAGATGTCAGTAGTGTAGTACATGTTGTGCATGACACAGAGAAGATCAGTGAGAAAAATCAAATATGAGGGAAAAATACTCAAAAAAAATCTATGTAAAGCTGAAGAAAATTTGCATTACTGCACATCCTCATAATCTCCTCTCTGACAGCCGATCCGTTTGTCAGTTATCACTATTATGGATGATTACATTATATTCCTTGGACGTGTCCTTTGGTGTTCCTACTAGACACACTAGAGTATCTGAAAGGCCGGCTCTTGGCAGTGCTCCTGGTCTTAGACTGCTGAGGCAGGCAGAGGACAGGAAGTACAGTCATGCCACAGAAGGTGGCAAACATCCCATCCTGCACTGCACAGGGCACAGTGAAAGGGCAGATTCTACAATCTTAAAATAGCACACTTTCAAATGTGAACAATATTTAAAGACGATGTGATGGTACAGCGAGTCTTTATATTATTATTAAGTGTTACAATGGGATTTTCTTAACTGATAAACCAACTCTACCGACGTGTCAAACAAATGATGACTGCTTGATGAATACACATATCCTTGGTATATTCTGAGGGAATACAAAATACCAGGATCACTTTACATTATGCTACGACCCGAAAACACTGACACTAACAAAGAGGCGATGGATTATCTTTTAAGGCCATGTGTTGTTGTTGTTGTTGTATTATACTGTATAATTAACTGAAAGTCCTCGGTTATTTCATTAAGAGCCAGTAAATGCTATTCATTGTCCTGCCCACTGTTGAAAATGTTTCGTTTCATGTGCTGGATCCTTCATGAACAAAGCTGCCTACACTTAACCTTTAATTGTCCATCCTGTTATTAATAGAACTAAAGTGAATGCAATGCTTACTGCTTGATAAATCCTGTGTATACTATCCTTGTCTCCACTTGCCGAAGCCTTCTTTAAACAACATTGACATTATGACATCGTATCATAACAAATTTGACTTTAATTCCTTTAAAGGCTCTACACACCCACACAAGTGTTTTCACTTACGATTAGAGCTCCTCTCAGGACTCTGGGCGTGTACAAACTGAGCTGAACTGATTTCTTTCTGTTAGTTTTGTTGGACCCTGCACAGCCTCGACCTGACTGGAGGTCTAATCAGCCAGAGTAATTGAAAACACCTGTGTGGGTGTGCGTTGCCAATAAGAAAAGCACAGGTGTAAAAAAATAAAATTATTGATGATTAGCTGCTTTGGTCTCAGGTTGCTGATAATGTGCATTTTGCTTGAATAAAATGAGGCTGTTGGTAACATTATTATTAACACCTGTGCTTTTCCTACCATGACAAATATGTCTGCTGTCAGAAAGGAGTATTGTATTGTATCACATGACAGAGCTTGGCATCATCATGTTGTACTGTATTGTATTCTATTGTATGCACCTTAGAGCAAGCCGAACTGTAATAGACTCAAGACACACACAACCCAGTAATGGCACACAGCCAGCCAACAATGATACTAATCTCAGGGTGAAAGCTAACAAAACTTCACTCCTCCTACACACTGTGTGGGGAAACGACAGTGAATAGCATTAAACCACTTGCTCCGCTACCACAAGGAAATGCGCTGAAGTGAAGAGAGATCATCTCTAAAGCTCTTTACTGCATGCCATAATGACAAACAAATGTGTGGTGTGAGGTGAAATGACTCCTCTGAGTGTCCATTCGCTGACCAGGATGCATTTTAATCTCAGACATAAGGCTTCCATAAACCAGAGGATTAACATTAACAGCATGCTAACAGTGATGTGCTACATCATCTAGATCATGTCCTGTCACCCAGGGAGCCTGCTGTGATTGATTCCTATTCCCCACCTCTTCCTTTCACCCTGTGAGAAATTAAATATGTGGTTAATGTACTATAGATTACAAGCCTTTTCATGATGACATTTAATTTTAACTCATATTTAATATGCTTTTTTTTTTAATTTTATAGTAGGTGCAGAACCATCAGATAGGAGAAGACTTTCAATCAAACAAAGTGTTCCTCTGCAGTCCCTTTTGCTAAAGTCGAATACAAGCAGCGGGAAATTAAACCCCTTCATTTTGTTAAGAGCCTCACTTTGGGACCTGGAGTCCACTGGAAACTGAGGCTAATAACAGCTGCAGAATCATCCTCAAGAGATGTAAACCTACATCTAATTGGCGATACACTGATCTCATGAAAGCAAAGCAGTCATAAAACCGGCCCTTTGTTTATGTGCCTAATTGTTTGCTATTTTAATAACGGGTGCTATTGACTGGGCAGTGGAAGATCTACAACCATGACGCAGGTCGTGTGTGACGCACGGAATGGGTGGATTTTCTGCTCAAACGCTGCAAAAAAAATAATGCAGCTCTGCATTTTGTTTATTCTACTGCACACTTGGCAGTGTTGTGGGTTAACAATAAGCAAACGATTTAAAATAATTGCAATGCAATCGCACTTGATATTTCTGAAAGAATAGATAGTTGAAAATGTTCAATCCAAACAACTCTTCTTGTTTTATCTTAATTAATTAATTTTTTGGCAATAGAAATATATACAACGTTTTAGTAGCTTTAATATATTGTTTCCCCTGATTAACAATGGAAATATAACATTTTAGGACTCAACAACCTCTGAACTGTCTTGGTAACATGGTCACTTTTTGCAGTGTTCTCCTCCTCCTGCTCCTCCTCCTCCTCCTCTGTAACGACAGAGGGGGCAGGTCTTGTTGTAAAGGGCTCTATTACTGCCTTGGCAGGTGATGCTGTAGCTCACAAGGGGCTTGAAGAGCCTCACTGCTTATCTCGTTATACTTATAGAGAGGTGACCTGGTTTCAGCACCGCGGCTCGTCAACAGCTCCACTGCACAGCGGAGATTTGGCCAACCCATCCCCGCCCGGTGCGTCTGACAGAGCGGGTACCTAAGGTGCACTCTCCGCGGCAGTTTCAGCGCCGGCGGACGGCTGGAGCGGAGCGGAGCTGTCCACACATTCAGCACTTTTCTCCTGGAGGAGAGAACCAGACCACGGGGAGAGATCTTTCTCCTGGACACTCCGACAAAGCTTATTTCAGGATGGCGTCTAAATACGTTGGCCTTTTCGTCCTTTTCCAGCTTCTAGCCCTGAATGTAGTGAGCCAGATATCTGCCTTCCCCACACCTACAGCTTCAACGGATGGTGAGTTGGCCATCGGCTCTAACCGTGTGATAATAGCAATCTTGTTCTGGAAAGCTATTTTTGCAAGAATTCTGTAGAAATGTTAGAGGAAACTGTTACCGGAGGCAGTCAGTGATTACAGAGGAGATTTTACAAACGCCACAAAGTGTAATAAGATCTTAAAAGTCTATTCAGCGCACATGGTGCCTGAAAAAAAAGGAAACGGGACTACTACCAGGTTCAAAATCTAATCATTGACAAACATCCAGAATCTATGAATTTCTGCAGAGATAGTAGATATATTGTCAGTTAAAGGCATTTTATTGGATTTTTTATAATGAATTGTTAACTGTTCCAGGATCTCCAATTGAAATTCAGTTGACTGAAAAAAAAAAAAGGAAAAGAAAAAGAAATGAAAAGCAAATACAATATCCTACAAAGTTTAGCTCCAGCTCAGCAGTGACTGGCCTGGACGCCTAGGCCGCTTGTGATCTATTTTCGCCGCAGTTTAATCTTTTGTTTGATAATCCGATTAAGCTCTGCCTTTGCCGTGGTGAGCTAGGAGAGCAGAAACGATCACATGGAACTCTGAAAGCTAAAAATGCATTAAATGACAATGAACAAAAAATAATGAATCAAAATTGTAACAGTTTTTGATAGAAGTAGATTATCATCAGAGATTTATTTCAAAGCCTTTTTATATAAGTGCAGTTTACACTTGTAACCTACAACACCTGGGTAGTTTAGTAATTGCATGCATTTTTTTCTGTTGCAGATAAAACTGTGTACAATAGACAGTTGACAGAAGAGAGACCACTACAAGAGCAGGTAAGCCCTTCTGTCTCTATGTCCCACAGTTAGTTTTCTCATCCAATATCCGGCCAAATGGGCTTTATGGTCACTTGTCAAACAACCTAGGTATTAGCCCGGCAAACATTATTAATCAGAGCTAATATCCTGGGTGGAAATGATTTGTTTAATGTTTGTCATTTCCCCAGATCGCTGAGGCAGACAGCGTGAAGGCTGCAGTCCAGTCAGCTGGTAAGAGGAAACTTTATTCCCAATCAATTAATGACTTTACTTCCGCCTGCTGAGTGGATTCATGTTGCAGCACTTCCAGTAAAACAGGTTTCATCTGTACTGAGAAATAAAAACTATTAGAACCACATTTATGCGAGAGGAGTTCATCCTGACCATTTGTGTTTCCCCCCGGTATGATCATTTTGTTTCTGCTTCCTTTCAGAGAGCAGACGTCCTGCTGCCGCCAAGGACACAGAGCCAGAGCAGGACAGTGATGACTTGACTGTGCTCAAGTCGCTGGCTGAGGGCCAGAAATCAAAGGGGAACGCTGAAGTACCAGTCAAGAAGGAGGATCAGTACGTCCCTGATGAATCAGATTCCACCAAGAGCCGACGTCTGGCTGAGGACTACGACTCCACCAAGAACGGGATGGACGACGGCAAGTACCAGGGTACGCACACCTGTCACCATGCACCTTGGTCTAACAGGCCCTGTCCTGGCATTGTTGGCAAAGGTACAGTGGGTTAGCCACTGACCTCTGTGTTGGGTCTGAGTCATTCTGCGTGTTTGACCTTTTCCCCTATCACCAAGGGCAGGCCTCATGCCGCATGCTCCTGTCTATCACTGGCAGGACACCAGGCAGACATTTTAAGAAAGAGTAGGCAGAGAAAACACGTGCGGGTGATGGGGATAAGCAGAGACGGATAGAAAGATTCAAAGAAAGAACACGTGCATGCCAGAGAGAAAGATTATCTTCTCCCTCTCAGACACTGCGGTCGTGAAAGCATACGCTAGCCCACTGTGTCTCTATACAGGAGGCTTGTAAATGCATGGGATTGGATTTTTGACACAAATATCATCTCCATCTCATATGGGAAAATGTATGAAAAGTACAATGGTAAAGATGCAGTCAAAAATGTTATTATCATATGTGGCCAATTTTTTGTTATGTTCCCCCAATATCCTACTGTCACTCTTTTTGGCCCCAGTACAGTCCTTCAATTAGCCTTGATTTCATATTTGTGAGTTCATTTAAAACACATTTATATGTTGGACATCTAAGTAGATTTTTTACACACAATAGATTTCATTAACACACATTTCACTGTATATGCATGTAATTTGATATTCACTCCGATCATCAGCATAGAGCCTCTGAGGTGAGGTGACTCAGACGCAAAGAGCTGAGTGCTACACTTAATCGATTCACGCGGTCAGGCCGGCAATGACAAGCAGCTCGTCAGGTTACTCGACATCTAAATTTGGCGAGCGCAGCCTGGGTTTCATGTCTTATTTCCTGTGAGGGAGATAGAAATAGGCCCATTTTTTTCAAGGTAAAGTACATCACTGATGATTCAACCTGCCAATACAGGCAAAAGTATTTATTTATATGGTGTGTGTGGATTGTGTGAAGCAGCGGAGGGGGGTGTTATGTAAGAGTCAAGCTGTAACAACTGCACATTTGTACTTAGTAATGCAGATAGAGATATGTGGAATGTGAGGACTGGATCGCAGAGGAGAGGACGGATCATTTATTACTGAAAAATCCTCTAAAAAAAATCCTCTAAACAAACCTCCAGGTTCAACATTTATGGTACAGTAGAGAGACAGAGAAGGAGTCGAAAAGATGGATCCATGAAATCTTCTACAGATTTTGTTCTGTTTGATTGTTGGAAATTCAGAAAAGTAAGAAAAGAAAATACTCAGGAATAGTATCAATTTGATCAGTCACCCCCCCCCCCCCCCCCCACACACACACACACACACACACAGGTAAAGAGCAATCTTTAGAAAGTTTGATAACATGTTTGTTGTCGCCTCTTAGATGACCCAGAGAGCTTCCGTCAGGTGGACGGCACTCCGCTCACAGCAGAGGACATCGTCCAGAAGATTGCAAACAAGATCTACGAGGAGGATGACAGAGGGGTGTTCGACAGGATCGTCTCCAAACTGCTCAAACTGGGGCTGGTAGGTTGTGAGTTTTGTATTCTTTGTACCCTGCCGTGCGATCGACAGAGTACGCAGTATGACACTTTCTCAATAGGAACCCTTCCTCTTTCCCTCTCTCTCCCTCTCTGCACTCCCAGAGATGTGTGAATTGTGCTTTTTTTCCCCATGTTTTTGGTTGTGAATTACTTTTTTGACACTCAATAAGTAGTTTGGCGGAGTCCAAATGGCTCCCTGAGGTGAATCTCTCAGTGACAGTGATACATGGAGGTTTACAGTCAATACATGTTGTTCTGTTCTCCCACATCTTGGTGTTACACACGACTCTTCACACACACTTTCTCTTTGTCTTTCTGTAGATCACTGATAGTCAGGCAGATACTCTGGAGTACCAGGTGGCCGAGGCTCTCCAGGATCTCATCACCAAAAACGCCAAGAACAACGAGATTGAGGACCTTGAGACCAACGACCGAGACACCGGGGGAGAGCAGGACGACCAGGGCTCAGACGCAAACACGGTAAAACCTGCAAAGCAGTGATGGTAATGATAATAGTCATAACAATAAGGATGAAAACAACGACAACAACAAATACTCTGGCATTTCCAGGACACATGGGAGCCACCCAGGCGCCGCTACAACGAAGACGAGGAGGATGAGGAAGAAGATGACGACGTGATTGAGGACGAGGTGGACAGGGATGCTGAAGAAGACGGGGGCGACGCAGCAGACAACACCTGGGACAAAGATACAGAGGAAGGCAACGAGGTGAGCCCGGAGGACGGGCTCCAGGACCTGCAGTACTTCCCCAACTTCTACCGTCTGCTCAGGAGCCTCAACTCAGGTAAAAACACAAACACACACCCCCCACCCCCTGAGGCTGCTGTGACATTTTTAGACCGGAGCCACAAAAATCATTGCCTCCCAGCATCATCCGTCCGAAGATAGAGATGAAGAATAGGACTAGATAGCTGTTGTTGTTATGACAATATTGTTCTCAAGGATGAGTCAATGCTTGTTTTGTCCTCCTTTTGTTTCCTCCAACATATGTTCCTCGGAAGTGCAGATGAAACACACACACACACACGCACACACACATAACCAATTATTTATAATCCTGTCGTCATGAACCCCACAGTCAAACACCATGTGGTAACATTAACACCATGGTAACCAATTACCACTAAACAAACCATCAATGATAGATGCTCATTTTGAGTCTGTCTTGCGGTTTGTTGTTGCAGATCAAGACACTCAGGAGAGGGAGACGCTGATCACCATCATGAAGACGCTGATTGACTTTGTGAAGATGATGGTGAAGTACGGCACCATCACGCCAGAGGAGGGAGTGTCCTATCTTGGTAAGATATAACACATTACCAGCACTGTTTATTTATAGTTGCGGACATTCAGTGCCAGAACATGAGACACAGAGACCACAGTCCATTTGTGGTAAATAATATTATGTAGCATTGACCGATAATATTGGCATTCTTGAAATAGCAGTTTGAAAAAATAATCTTAACTCAAGGTCGATTTATTCCAAATCTTCCAATTATACTTCATGGTCCTGATGTGGTTGAAAAGTTGAAGAAAAAGTCCCATAAAGCAGCTGGTGTTGTAACCTTTGACCTCAGATTACTTTATCAAATAATCTATGGCCTCGTGTCATGTTTATATGATCATATTATGTTATTGTTTCACAAAATGATGTCGTCTGAAGTGACAGTTTGTGAATAAACTAACAAAAAGCGTCACTGAGGTTTGTGTTTAAAATTTCCAAAAGATTTTTCCTGATGTAATACATCACAGCAGAACACAGCTGATTGAACAGCCCATGTATGTGAGGCCAACAGGTGGATGAAAGATTTCAAATTTAAGTTTCAATCCCTCTGTTGCATTAGCCAAACAGTGTGGATACATGTCTCTGTCTCTGTGTGTTTTTGATTAGGGTCTGTGTGTTCAGCCGAGCTAATGCTTCCTTCAATCGGTGCAGTGGAGTGTGAAGCCTGCACAGACAGATTAGTGTCAGGGGCACCCTACGTAACCGGGCTGGTTTTTATGGCCAGCCATCACATCAGCATTCAGTAGAAAGGTCAGGAACCTGTAAGGGACAGCTGTCATCACCAACATCTCACCAACATTCAAATGACATTTAGTCCCAGACTTTTCATAAACGGGAGGGCATTTATTTGTGTAATAATAATAATGACATATTTATGATAATGATATATTAGCTATTTGTAATAACTGTCATTATTTTCATTATTGATTAATTTGAACTGCTTCTTTTTTTTTTTCGATTCAACAGTCCAGAATGGAAACCTCCACATTTGAGAAACTTAAAACAAAAAATGTTTGGTATTTTTGTTTTATAGATGACTTATTTCTGTTAACTAGTCTTACCACAGATCAGAAATATAATAAGAATAGATTTACAATCCCACTATAAAGGCCATAATCAAGTATTAGCTGTACAAACTGTAGAGGGATTAATCAATACTCCTTCAATGACCCCTCGCAGCAGCTGGCTACTGTTGTTTCTGATACCTCCGAGCAAATGACCACTGCTGACATTACACACGGGAACTAAACAAGCATATACCATTACACAAGATGTGAGTTTCCTAGGCAACCCCATTGGCCTTATGGTAGTACAGGTTGTGAGGAGATAATAGGACGGACGGAACACCATTGCCTAGCAACATGTTAATGCCCCCCCCCAAACTCCACCCCCAACTGGCTGATGCTCCGATGAGTCACCCAGGTACACAACTGAATACTCACAGCTGTCAATCAACGGTAATCTGCCTGAGGGTGATGCAGGCCTCAAGATAAAGAGAGAGGGATGGGGGGTGGGGGCAGTGGGAGAGGATGAAACAATGGGCTTCCACTGTGCTACAGGTGGGAGGGGGCAGCTTGAATAGACAGAGAGAGCACAAGGGAAAAGTGAGATGGTTAGATAATAAGAAATAAGAGGCTGTTAGAGCAAATGTAGATAAGAGATGAAATTGTAGGGCTCCTTCCTGTTCCTGTTATATCTTTGATGCTCTTGTCTCTTAAAGTCCAGATATCTAAAATTCTGTCATGCAAAACTCCCTCTAAAAAACTCTAACTTGTCATCACATTTTCTCCTCTTAATAGTCTTTGACTTTTCACAGAGGTGCTCTTGTTCCAGCGATGCATAAAGTAAATGACGAAATTTCCCAAATATTCAGATGATCAGATCATCCAGAATATTAATGCACCTAGTAGCTTCTCAGGAACTTCAGTAACACTTTACTATAATACTTTACTTGCTTAATACAAGTAACATTTATGAGTATGAATATTAAATAAATAGTTAAGAACCCACTATAATGCGCTTGTTAGCATATATAAATGTGAATTAATGTATTTGTGAGGCACACATACGTGGAGGCCGGTATATGAGGTATACTCATAGGAGAACTTAATGACAAATTCTGTACATTGATAAACACATCGATTTCATTATAGCTGTGTTCGACGACATTCAAGTGTGTTTAAATAGTGCCTCTAAATGCTAAACGAGAGGATGAAATTTCAGCTGATCTCTGGGTTGTTTGTATCTCCCGAACATCTGCTTCCACATAATGTTTAACCCTTCACTAATCCAGGGAGGACTAGTTGTCATTTAACTCCCATATGATCTGTTTGTGTCATTCCCTGACTGATTCGGGGTCTTTCATATTTTCTAATCCCTTTGTGAAAACATAATAATAGCCCACCCCCTGTGCTAGTTGTGGTAACACACCCTGAACAGATAAATGTGGTAGTTTTTGTTATACATTTGGCATCCTGGCTTTAATTTTTTATCATAAAAGGTAACTCTTGTGTGTGCCGTTCTAGAGGTGATGCTACAAATCTTGAGTTTAGATACACCTGAATCTAGAGCAGGGAAAATAGTGGAGTGGTTTTGCTGTTTATTTTTCTTTAATATCCAGTTTGCAATGCATAAATAAATTATTGAAAATTATAGCGGAAAATAAAACAAGGCTTTGTTTATCACTGTCGTCATACTCTTAAACCTACTTTCCATTAATTAGTTGGAACCCTTTTTGTAATGATAATCACCCTCTGAGTCACACAGGAACACGAGGCTCAAGATGTTTTCATTCATCATCTGTAGAGTGAACTGATGACAAAATGTTTAATCAAGTCTAAATCTAAATGTGTGGCCTGTTTAACTCGCCTGCAGAGAACCTGGATGCTATGATAGCCATGCAGACCAAGAACAAGCTGGGCAAGTCTCTCGGGCCGCCTGACTTCGCTGGACTCACCGGTAAACGGCTTCACAAATTATCCTCCAAACATGTCAAATAAAACCTTGTTATTCTATTTGACATGGTCAGATGTGACTGGTACATTAGACTCTGTGGACCTACACAGGCTTAACTGCTGTTGTTTCTACTCATGGGAATGATTTAATTAATAAAACAAACTTGGTGAGCAGTGTCATATCCAGAACCTTTTCTTAAGATTATGTTTTGGGCATTTTCACCCTTATTAGAGAGGACGGTGTAGTAACACTCTCAGATGTTTCCATTAAGTATAAGGCTACAGCCAGCAACCAGTTAGCTTAGCTCAGCATAATGACTGAAAACAGGGGGAAACAGCTAGCTCATTACAGCTCAACACTCATTGTAACTGTGAAAATGGCAATTCGTGTGTTCAATGAGGGTTATGTTCCATTTGTACTTTTCAGTTTTTTGTACAAATTGAACAAATAATACGTAATTTGTTGATTAGACTAGCCAGAAAACGAAAAAGCGTATTTCTCGAAATGCCGAATTACTGCTGTAAGCATCTCTTAACTGAGAAAGTGAGCAGCATTTTAAAGCTCCATGTATGTTTTATTTTTGTGCTGTATAGGGAAAAACCTGGATGAGGATGATAACACCAAGGCTGAGGCCGCCAAGATGCAGAAGGAATATGAGAACCTGAAAGACTCAACCAAGGAGCAGCCATCAGCTGAGACCAGTCAGTCCACTACCCAATCCTGACGACCAGAGGAAACATGAATAGCTTTTTGTTTAGTGATTTGTTCATTTGCTAAAATAGTTTGATACAATTTTAAGAGTTGGCCCCTCAAAAATGATAAACTATGTGCCTTGTAAATTGCATGACTTTTGTTTTTTGTTGTTATTGTTTTTGGCATTATGGTTTTATTGGGGTTTTTTTTTTTGTGTGTGTGTGTGTGTGTGTGTTTGTGAAATGTCTCAAATAAATTCCAAATTCTCAAATATAGCAAATACTCCACCTCAGTGAAAGGTCTCATTATAGATCTTTTGTTTTCACTCGCCAGGGCTGACAGGAAATAAACAACACCGTGTAGTCCAGGTCAATAATAGTTAAATCCCTGTTTGTCCCCAAACTAGGCCAGTCCAGCAAAACAGGAAAGCTTGCTGTTTTCTGTTCATCAGTCTAATCCACACAGATACACACACAGACACGCATAAATACGAAAGGCAAAATGAAACATAGAGCAGCATTCCCACCAGAACCATCCTTTCAGCAGGAAATGAAATAAATCCTGAGTAATGTCAACTGAACAGTGTCATCTGTGTGTTAACAGGCTGCACTGTGTTGCGTAATATCTTTTTTTTTTTTAAATGGTATAATCCAAATTTAATCTGTGGTTAAGCAACAGTCTAATCTTGATTGGTGGTTAATATAAATTTGAATCTCAAAGTTAGCCAGATCCTGGCTGGAGGCGTTTTCCCATTGCAACTGAAATGTAAAAAAATAATGGATAAGTCTTGCTGCAGGAAAATTTAGTGGTGTAAGTAATTGATAAGTCTAAGGTAGCACCGTCTTACTGTTTAGTGGAAACTAGGCTCCTCTGAGTGCTAATGAACTAGAGAAGAAGTAAAGAAAAACTTTAGTTCAGTTGTTGACTGTTTTTCTAATACATAATAGAAGATGATTCTCATGTCTCCTTTTCTCTGTTACTTCCTTCTCTTCACTTCAGATGGGCCCGGCAAATCAGAGACTTATCTGGAGGCCATCAGGAAGAACATTGAGTGGCTGAAGAAACACAACAAAGAAGAAGGCAAAGATGGTGAGGCACACGCCCTTACTAAAAATAATAGATGAGAGAGACCAAATACAGACCTGAATTTTGTGTGTCTGCTGAATGATCACTGTGCACAGGGGATCAGTAATGTGATATGTGGGGAGACTAACATTTCCATTTGAAGTAGTTACTCTAAACTGCTCTCCCCTCTCCAATCTTTACTGAGTTCTAAGAGCCAGAGCAAGAAAACATCCTCATTTGCAAACCCTCATCTCCTTCAGTGAACTGTGGTGGGTCACAGACAGGCCTGACATGACGCACTTGAGAACAGAAAATTTGAAGGCTCTTTTGTTAGCCTCAATTTGCAATTAAAATGAGCGTGGGATACCAGGATAGATGCTTCACTCCAGATCTCATGAATATGGATAATTCTTGATGAGTCCTGTCCTAATTACTCGTGATACAGCTGCCTTGTTCAGAGAAATAAAGGCCTGTTGATTTATTCACGCCTACCTGTTCCTCGACATTTATGTGCAATTGGGCATGTTTTCATGTGCACGTGTGTGACTGTGTGTGTGAAAAGAAGATATAGTCATAGATATGGAACCTGGTCCATTATTAGCACTTCTATCACAAATACACAAAAAGTCCATGATAAGATCATCGTGTCTTTGTCATCAATGTCTGCTCATGTCTCAAGATTTATAGTATTTGTCAGAGTGTGTTTATATTTCCAGCCTTGCCCATACTGTAAATGTCAGCATTCAGTATATGACCCATAAACTGCAATGGCCTGCAGAGCTGTGAAAACTGGCAGTGTCACACACACAACAGTGAGCTTGTCTACCAGGAGAAGCCTGCTGTTGGGCTCTGCACTGTGTAAAATCAATGCCCAGTGGTGCTTAATTGAGCAGAGGAGAATGAAATGTTAATGAGTTCTCACTATTCAGGCCATCCGTCCAATGGTGATGATCACAGTAGGACATCTCAGACAAAAAAAAAAACCCCAGAGTTCTAGCTCCGTGAGGTTTATATTTACTGTCAATGTTCACTGGCCCGATCTAATCTGAGCCGATCAATAGGCGAATCAGCCTCAAGTGAGTCAGGAAAAACTATCCAAAAGCAGAGGGATTACAGATAATAATAATAATAATAATAAACAAAGTCGACCCAGATTCTTCTGTGCATCTTAAATAAAGAAGAAAGAAAGACAGAAAAAAATCAGGTTATAGTGCTGCAGATTGGAGGCGAGCAGAGGGGCCAGAGCAGCAGGGAAGTTTTGTTTGGTGCTCATCTCCGGCCCGGCTCTATATAGGACACCTCATTAGCATTCTAGTGTGTAGTAGTGGTTGTCAGGGACAACAGGAGCCTCCCCGCCTGCCTGTCAGTTATCTGGGCAGAGGAGACAGATAATGGTGTCAGAACAGACACACACACTCAGAGTCAAAATGTGCCCCCGAAAATTACCCAATTTTCCCATAGCGGGATTCAGTAAATGACTAAAATGATTCCCCATCATTACCTATTTTTCTAACACACCTTGTACCATATTAAACTGCTTTCTAAATCTCTCTTCATCCTTGTTCTCTCTATATTGTTCTCTCTCTTCAGAGAAAGTACAGCTGGAGGAGAACAAAAGCCTTTTCAACCAAAAAAATAGTGTCATAGTAACAGAATAGGCGACGGGCCATTTATTGTGTTTACTCTACCAGAAGCACCCATTAGGACAATCTCTGCAGACTCTCTCTGTGTGTTTGTTTAAATGTTCCCATATATATGCGTGTGTGTGTATGTGTGTTTACGCCTACACACTGCACAGATTAGCCAAAGGAGCAGATGGACGTAGAGGCAATATCCTGGTTTTGGCTCTTGGTTCCTCACAGCCAAGATTGAGAGAAGCAGTGCGGTCTCTAATCACATTCTCTTAATCCCTCACACACGTCATGTTTGTCATCGGAAAAAAAGCGACTGCATTTTGAGGCAATGCAATAAAAGCTATAAAATGTCATTAGGAAGGTGCAGAGGTTGTTGTGTGACTTCTCGGCTGTCCTCTATCCTTCTGTTCCTCCTTTATTCTGAGTCAGTTAGAACAGTGGTGCGGCAGCTTGTTTGCCTGCACGCTGAAACTCATTTGTTACCGTGATGGATAGGACAGAGTTAGATTATGTCCATCTCTAAATATAGCCACATCGTACTGTGACGTGATGGTACTGACTTGTCTGGAGCACGATGAATACAAATGGTGCTTCAAAAAAAAGGTTAATATAGTTTTTAAAGGTGTATCGAGCTCTTTTACTAAATGAAATAACCTGGTTTGATGTTGGGAATTACTACCAGAAACTAATAACACTGAAACTGAATTGAATATAAGGGATGATTTCATTATAAGAAGTATAATTTGATTTGATTTGAATTGTTTTTCATTGTGTGATATTTTGACCTTCTGATTTCATGCTTGTATGTGGTATCTTCTTAACCCCACACAAACATGCTAACTCTGACCTTAATCCAGTGTGATAATGACTGACCGTACCAGATTACAGCTTGTTTGGGTGTGCCGTTTTAAGGAGACGGTGCTGTAAGATTCTGATGTCTGATCTATCCTGCCAAACACCGTGGCCTCATGATCTTCCTCCTCTTTCCGGTTTATAAACCTTTCATCCGTCGTGTCTGATTTTCCAGATTATGACCTGTCCAAGCTGAAGGACTTCATGGACCAGCAGGTGGACTCCTACATCGAGAAGGGCATCATCGCCAAGGACGAAGGCGACACCATCAAGAGGATCTACAGCAGCCTGTAACGCTACCATCTATCCTCCAACCCACCTCTGGCTTAAAACACAGGACTGAATTTGACACTAAGATCTCCAACAAAACCCTGACTACTTACAGTTATTTCCCATGGCATGGTAAAGTATATACTGTGTATTCAAAACTACCTGCTTAAGGGAACTTGTTCACCCTGCCAGACATTCCCAACATGTATCAAGAAAAGGGATTTAATAATACTATCAACAAAACAGTAGTTATTCCTTACAGCTCCCTTAACTGATTATATTTGCACGCCGAGATCGCAGAGTAATAATCTCTAGACTTATTGAGAGAAATCTAAATATTTTATGTAACAAACTCACACACAAGCATTTACTCCAACCCAACTCCTGTGAGAAATGAATGTTATGAGAGTATTATGCTGTAGCTTTGTCATCAACTACTGTTTTCAAAACATTTTTTTTTTTTTGCAACAAAATACACATATATCAAATCGTACTCATTATGTGTAACCTGTCTTAGCCTATTATCTTTTATTTTTTTTCCAGTATATATGTAAGATCTTAATGTATTCTTGCTTTTTATTTACCAAAAATATATTTGTTGTGTATCATGTCAGTGCCCTCCGTACTCCTATGTTCTCTTCTTCTGCTGTAATTCTTGGGGCCCACTAGGGGGAGATGTCTGTATCATCTACTCTGCATGTCTCTGTGAGTTCAACATTTACATCTCTGTAGAGACGCAAGATGAAGTATTTTTAAATGTAAATATTTGTGATTTTTTCCTAATATGTAAAAGCAATTAAAACATTGCCTTTTCTTTACTTGTGTGCTCAACTGTGATAATGAAGCAGCACTGACACCCACAGGATGCTCACAAGAACCTGCACCGCTGTGGTGAAAACACTTGACATCTTCGTGTCTGGTTTAAATACGTATTTATTCTCCCCAAATAAAACCAAATAGAATTTAAAAGCACAATAAAACAGCCGTTACAGACAGTTCTCCACACACATAAATAATGCATTCACACTTCAAAAAATAGAGCAGTCCCTTCAGTTCCCAAAGAAAAAAAAAAAAAAAAGCTTCTATGAGGCAAATGGAGCAAAGGCTTGAGTCCATCCACCGCCTCTGTTCGGGGGTGTGTGCTCATACAGGGTAAACACTGATGAGGAAGGCCTGAATATGCTTCCCAATGATGCTATTCTAGGAGGGGATTGAGCACATCAGAAGCGGTTAGCAAGTCTAACAAGCTAATCCTTCTGGAATTGCTTAGCGCATGTGTATGTGTATGTGTGTGTGTATGTGTGTGTGTACATATGCAGCAGGTGGGTTCTGTACAGCAGCCTCAGAAGCATAAGATGAATGGATGGGCACATGTGCTCTGAGGCTATTAATATCAGATGCCCCTTTGCGCTGTTAAGTCTCCCAATAAAACTGTACAAAACGATAACAATCAAATACATCATAATAATTGCATATCAATAAATAAAAGGCAAACATGACACTTTTGTTCAACATGGTTTGGTAAAAGCAAAAAGGTAAAGGAAAAAAGAAAAGAAGCAAGAACGTTGTGGTAGTGTTTGTTTATGAGTGTGTGTGTGTGTGTGTGTGTGTGTGTGTGTGTGCGTCCAAGACTGGGCTTCAGGTAAACAGACTGGTCTTTTATATCTCCTGGTATGACGTTGTGGGGGCCGTGTAGCTCTCCTCATTGCTCCTGCAAATGAGAAAAGATTTACAACATTAAACATTTCTTGGAAATTTTCCACAGTGGAAAACACATTATTATATAACTGCACACACACACACACACACACGCACGCACGCACAAACACACTCCTTCTCCATATGCTTAACAGGTCACCACAGCGTCTAGGTGAGTGTGTGAATAATGGATGAGGCTAATCAAACAGCCTCGGTCACAGCTGAGGGCGCATCTGGCCAGAAAACAGTCTCTCACTACAACACCACAAAGTCTTACCCATAATAAAGTTTAAAGATTTTTTTTTTTCTTTTAACTGAGCACAATATTAGAAAGGCTACTTCAGAAATGCAAGTCATCACAAGACGAAGCTATTGTCCACGTCCAGTTTAGCTGCCAAGAAATGTTATTAATTAGGGGATGAAATATGGAAAGATCAAAATCAATAGAGGATGCAACGGATGGCTTTACACCATCACTTTGCAGGAGAACCTGAAGAGAGGAGAGAGAACAGTAAAAGTAGGACGCTCAAAGAAAGTTGCTGTACAGCGCTGTATTTTCTCACACATTAGACCTCTGACGGGAAAAACTACCCGCAGGAGCACAGAATCAATCTCTTAAAACGTACAAGAAACCCCTCGTGGAGAAAGCTAATTGGTCCGATAGATTCCAAAGTTATAGATTTCTTTTAGGGATGCAGTGGAGGGCAGACCTCTCTAATCCCACACTACTCAGCTGTTTAGAACCACCCTTAAGTAAATTGTGCATTTTATCTTGCCTTTTAGTTAGTCTGTCGGTCGGCAAGATATCCCTATCTATATCTATATTTACATGAACTTTAGTGGAGAGCCAGGCCTCGGTTCGTGGAACAACCCGTTGAAATTTGGATCTGGCAATTCAGATTTTAGATCTTGTTTAGCAACTGAACGAAACGGAGATTAAGACTTGATTCCACTTCCTAGGGGAATGTGTACAGCATCAAAATAATTTGCCATAATAATTTTTTTTTTTTTAAATAACCCTAATATCCTCATGATCTTTTCTTATTATTATCCTTTATCATCCTTTTGTAACTCCTGATCTGGAAAGTGCTACATAAAGAAAGACAGCAACTGATTACAATAAATGTAAGTGATAGGAATATTGATTTAAGTTTGTGGAAGAAGGTGGCTGACACCTTCAGGCTGAAAAATGTTAACATGTTAACTCATAGTGATATCATAGTTACTGATTTCAAACCATGAGACAAATAAAGATATAGGTCTTCTACAGTAAATGTATCAATCAGCTGCTCCATTAAAACTATTCCCTACGGTTTGGATTTCAGAGGCTTGTGGTTAGTTTCATCCTCGGGGAGAAAGCCAAGCAGGCGTGCGGCCTGTGTTTGCTCTGGGACCGTGTGCAAACAACGACGCGAGCCTCTGTTTGTCTAAACACAGTGCAGCGCCACAGGCCTGCCTTAGATGTGGCTGGAGTCAGACACTGGGCTTAACATAAAGCTTACGCTGGTGGGTAAACAATTAAGGAGACATTAAAAACTTTGTCTTACATATTTACTCAAGGTGCGTGCATCTCTCACACAAAACACAGGCCTATAGTTACTAACAGCAAATGTTAAGCAGTTAGTGGCCGTATCATAAGGAAATACTTGTCACAATACTGTCTTGAAACACTGACGGATAGTATTCACAATATTTAGAAGTATTTGCTGGTGCTAATAAAGATAGTCCTTTAGTTAATGACTGTAAATGTATTGATTTATTTATCTATTTTCTATAAAGGAGTTGAATAATAGATTATATTACATTATAAATTAAAAATCCCAAACTTTTGTTACTCTGTTGTTGCTTTATAGGTATACGATATGATATGAACTGTTAATGTATTCTGTAGCTGTACATTAATGAGGTAAGAAAGACCCTCCTTATTTTTTCTGGTTAAATTACCACATGAAACGTGGTTTCAGAGCATCGGTAATAATAGAAATTATGTATAATGGACAGTTCATGCCGGGGTAACTGCCAGTACAATCATCAATTATGTTAGCCTGAGGCCGACAGGAAGGACGTTAACATAAGAGCTGCTCCAGGAGGGCCTGTATCCGCTCTAAAAAAACACAGCAGCACGAGCAGAATACTTTTAGAGAAGTGGATAAACAGTGCATGTGTCTGTACAGGACACTTGCTGCAGTGTGACTCAGTCTTGACTAAACGGATAGTACCGACGAAACCAATTTCTCTCTGAATGGGCGAATGCCAGGTATCCATTACTACCTCACCGTCGAGCAGACGCAAAATAGCTCCTTGTCTCAACATGCAGTGTCAGGGAGACAAGCACAGTCCTGATTCAGCAAGCAAGACCTCCTGCTTTAAATGCCTGACTGTTGCATAACGTAGCATCTGACTAGTACATCAGATCTGGAAACCCCTGATTTGTTCCTGCTGACTGAAACCTCTGACAATGACCTACTGAGCTCAGGAACGAGAGCCAAGGCTCCATTTCCTACATGATCTTAGTCCCCTTGAGAGTCTATGAGCTGAGATCATCTGCTTTTTGGAGAAGGGAGCTGTGAACAGTCACAACAGCACAGTGGCAAAACACTCAAATGTTACCTACAGACGCTGGGCTTCATCATAGAAAATATACAAATGTATCCCGTCAACTAAACCCTGTAAACGTGCAAACAACACTCCTGTTTGGCAGGCAGAAAAACTGACTCAGCATTCGTGATCTTTCAGTGGACAACACCGAACCAAGAAGCAGCTGCTGACAGGTGTCCGTCATTTGAATGAAGCAAAAGTCAGCCGTCACACCCAGAACGAACACCATCTGACTGGATGCCATGCTCAACAAGAACACGTCTGACTGGACCATTAGGGCAGGACAGATCCAGGCCACATACTGGCAGCGAGCGTTCACAGCCTGGTCTCAAAGAGTGTTCTCTTCAACGCACAGAAAAGAAGCAGCAGTTGGCATTTGACTTTTCATCACCTCACCTTACTTCCTCTTCTTTCAGCCTGCGTGCAGCCTGCTTTGACTGTTTGATTTGCAAGTCCAGTCTGTGTAAGAAGTCTTTGGCTGACAGCTCCTCTGGCTGAGGCTGGGGCGGTTTGGAGTCCTCGGGGGGCGGGGAAGGTGCGGGCGAGGGTCCCTCAATATCCTGCGTCACAATACAAGGTGCATCTACCTCCTGGCATGCTGCTTCACCGTCCCCATCTGGGGACTCCAGAGACAGTCCATTAAATATGGAGCGCTTCTCTGACACCACGGGGATGTTGAGGCTGTTCCTCAAGAAGATGCAGTCGTTGCTGAACAGCTTGTTGGCTCTCTTGATTTGCTCCATCTGCCACATCAGGGTGACAACAAAAAGGATAGTGTTAATAATTCTTCTCTGTGATTACCACTGTAACAAGTATCACTTCTGTTTTTGTCACAAAACACGCATGCTATATAAATAGAAAAGTTTTTTTGCTGCTGAAGTTAATTAGGTAGTAATGCATTTAATCAAATTATAACCAACTGACACACAGTGAACCTGAGGGTTTTGAGGCCACTGGGGGTCTGAGGATCTTGGGTCACAGTACAGGTGCCACTTTGCCTGTTTCATAATCCAGCCTTGGCTGGAGACTTATGCGTGCAGACTTGATAAACCTTCCACCCTGGCTCACCTGTCCGGACTGCTTTGACTTTGAAATTTGTGAACAGGAGCAGCAACTGGAAGATTTGAGACATCTAAAGGAATATTGTCTGTCGCCTAAACAATAATGCTCCTGCTGCATTTATTGTGAGCTCTCACACCTGCCACCTCTTCTCACTTCAATAGTCATGGAACACGTTGTGAAAACGAAAGTAAAAATCAAGGCAGCCCCCTGCTTCTACTAGGTGATGCGAAATACAGAAAGAATTTGATGGTGAAACTCTAAAGAGCACCGGCTGTCGCAACACCAGAGTATACTGCTCAGAGGCTTTCATAAGGCATTTCTGGCCTTAAGTTTATTTAGGTCCGTTAGTTGACTTTAAAGTTGAATCAAACCATAGTGTGCTGACAGATCAATGAACACAGAAGTACACTTTACTGTTTGCCCATATAGCAAATAGACATGATGTTGTGGGAATCCTCTTGTCAATGAAGAGACTAGTGGTACAGTGAATTACACCTGATTTCTTAATCAGTCAGATATCACTGACAAGGTGAACATCAAGCCCAACTATCACCGCAGTGCTTGTGTGGCAACCTTACCGTAACACCGTATTTGAGAGCAATCCCTTGCAGGGTATCACTGTCTGTAACCCGATGCTCTATGTACTTCTCCCCCAGAGAGGCTGTGACACTGGCTGTGCTACCGTACGAGCGGATCTTGGTCCGGGCCAAGCTTTGGGACAGTTCGCTTTCTGACTCGGAACCGGACCTGGACCGAGGGAAGATGGGCTGGCCAAATCGTCCTCCTCCATCCCGCATCGGCAGGACGGGCGAGAACTCCGCCATCTTCTCTTGAATAAATAAAGAGCCCGGTTGCCTCTGTTTGTTTCAACGCTCCAGTTGACTCGCCGCAGTGAAGTAAATCGCTGGTTTAAGCGGCAGGGAGATTCCCATCCCCGGTCTTGTTCGGCGTGTCAACCCAGGGGATAACAGACATGTTTCGGGGACCACTACCTCACGGCTCGCTTTTGTCATAGATCCCTTACGTTGACGTAAAACCGTACGGAGCGTCAGAACGTCCAGGAGGAACGTCATTAATACAGTTTCCGGTTGCACTTTCAAAATAATTTACGATTTTGATTATAAATCTGCTATATATTAGTTTACATTCCCTGGCCTAGCTTGTCGTAGACTTAAGTTATATTAGCTAAAGTAGCTAATTTTAAACATTGTGTGTAATAATGTTAGCTCAAACTACTTGTTGATCACCAACTAATACAAAACTGGTCCAACTATTTGGACTCAGACTTACGCTGATTATCCAGAGATACTTGCTGTTAATTGCATTGATTTGTAAAATAGCAGTAATTAAAGTAAACAGCCTCATTAGATGGCTACAATGAAAGGTCCTTAGGTCCAAGATTACGTTGGTCTATTAGTTAACCCACTTTTCTTGTGTAACAAAGTAGGTCTGGAGAGATCTTTTCACATTGGGTGGAAACATTCAGCAGGTCTCTGTGACCACTAACCACTGCATGTGACATCTGGAGCCAATGCTGTAAATTCAGGATCACTTTGGATGGAGTCTGTGGGGAACCTGGTTCACAGTCCCATGACCAGCCTTGCAGGAAAATAATGTGTTTTCGTTTATCACCACATGGTAAAACCTGTGAATAAGGGATTTTCCCAAAATGGCATATGAGTGTCATAAAGTCTGCCAAATGAGGAACTGACTGACAGACTGTTTATTCATTAAATGGAGTTTTTCCATATTCCCTGCCATTACACAAACACAACATTCACCTTTATTTTTAGAATGGAAATAAAGAATAAAATTGAAGTGATAGAGTTACAGTAAAAAAAAAAATAAAAAAAAACTTGTACAGAAAATGAAACAGTTTTTTATAGTTATGAAAAAATATATATAATATACAGTATATAATCTTACAATCCATCTGCAGTATCCATATTTCCTCCTTCAAAACCATGTTTCAACCCATATGATAGGGCTTCAAATGCTAAAATAAATACTGGCATGTTCATGTACATAGTTGCTGTATGTTTTCCATTCTGCCTGTACTGTTTTAAATCAGTCTAATTTTGATTTCATTTGTTTAGTTATACCAATAATTACATTTTCAGTTTTCAGCACATTAAGGGTTTCATTTCACTGTCAACAGCCTGAGCAATAACACTGATGACAGCAAACATAAATTACTTTTTCTACAATATGACATGTAAATAAAAATCTCCATTATCTCATCTTTTCTTTGTACATGGTATGATGAAAACCTGTATCTCTTATCATTATCAGATATCAACCTGCAGCTTATGTGGGAGTACTGCATCCTGTGAGGACACTGTAAGCCGAAGAGCAACAGGTCAGTTAATCATTGTAGAAGGATAAATGAAAGCTCATAAATGAACAACAAGATAAATCCAGGTTCAATAACCAAGTTATGTGACAACCAATCTGTGAACTCGTTGTGAAGGGCAGAACTCCTCTCATCATGTATTCACTGCTGGATGGTAGCTGGTGGAAATTTTCAATGCTTCCTGTCCCTGTCATCTTCACACTTGCCATGGTTCATGTTTATTCACAGTCCAAAATGGCAATGAATTTTCTGAAGCTGTTTGTCCTTTTTGGATTGCTGTGTTAGGAAGATAAAGCCATGCAATAACTCACTGATAAAATAAAGTGCTGGCAGTAGAAAGCAATCATGGTACAAGTACTAAGTAATTTTAATGTAGTGTTGTTGAAGGGTAGTAATATGTAGCCTAATTTGACGGAGCATACACAAATTCAACACAAAGACTGCAGGTGCTACTTTAGGATGCCTAGGTTGTACCTGCATGAAATCTAATTTGCTGAGGAACAAATACTGGGGAGCAGCAAGTGGATTCAGGATCCCCGAATGATTAATTTATTCAATTAGTCTCTCTTGGTTATAGATGATCTTGCTGTAAACTCACTGGCTGGCATTTTCTTATGGAAATCAGGTCATTAAACTTATGTAATAGTACAAAGACAGACCAGGAGGAGGGCGCTCAACACATTAATTATACATGATGTTCTCAATGTGAAATGACACTTTTTTTTTAGATTGAACTGCAAATCAGTTCATTATTCATGTTTAATTGCGCCACATGTTTGGTCTTGACTTATCCAGTGCACATGGATACAGCTCTGGTAAAGGTAAGAGGAGGAGAAAAAAATTAAATAAAACACAGTACATAAATTATGCAATCCCCCGCCAAAAAAAATGTTCATTGTTTTGTAAATTCATATCCACAGTGAGCTCCTAGGATCTCCTCAGGAGTCCAAACAACAACAGCAGATTGCATCTGCAGACTGAGGTACAGTAGGAATCAGTTTACTTCACTTGCATCGCCCCACCATCTGCTCCTCTAATAGGCAAAAACAAACAAAGGTAACAAAGGCTGGATGAAAGGGGGCACTGTGAGTCATCTGTCACGACATTACCATGACAACAATCTCTTGAGCTGCTTCCTGATCCAACTGCACCCACAGGTCTTGGGAGAGAGGAGAGAAGGTATTGTAATCAGTGCAATATGGTGTCGCGAGGGACTGAAGTTAATTTTAGTCTGTAATCGTTGGAGGAAAATAAACTGGATTTGACCAAGGGAATTAGATATGAGCGTCTATACATAGGTAGTTTAAAGGTCTATCACAATAAAATGGAAATTATGCATCTACATAAGGTTAATGTCCGGATAATGAGGACACCTACAGGATCTTTTTACAATAATGTATCAGTAAGTTTTTTTTTTCTGACCCCTACTGGACATTTTCTGGTATTGCACCTGTGCCAACCACCAGATGGTGCCAGTTAATAACAAGTAAGTCCTGCAACTTTCTGAAACGCATGAATGAAGTGATAATGGAATGCTTTACAACGTGTTGTACATGTATTTGTCAATGCTGGTATTGTATATTCACATTATAATATATCTGCATTTAAGTGTACACACACTTTGGAAGAATGGGAGCTTCTTTGCTGAAGGGAACTGGTTGGTTTGGTTTGATTTAGTTATTCATTGACCTTGTTCAGGAGGGTTGTTTATCCAAAAACATTTATCACCCTGATGCATTATGAAAGATCATAATCATCGTATAACACTCTTTTAATCTGGATACAAAAAAACTAATTGTTAAAAGTATCCACTCCTTCATGTAATGGTTTTATATAATGGTTTAGAAATCCAAACAGTTCTATGAAGTGTAAACTTTTTTATTGCATCAAGCCCACAAAAAGGATTTCAAGAGCCAGCCATCGTTGATAATTATTTTTCCACTCTGAACAGGGATCCTTCTGGCAGTTTCACTTGGCAGAATGCGTTTGACATTATGAAGCTAATATAACTTACTATTTTTAACACAGGAAGAAAGGAAAATGAATACGACAGTGTTGCTTTGGCTGCCTTGTAATGGAGATGCCTGTTATTCCTGTTAAAGCTGACATTCAGGACAGGATGCACGTTTTATTCATTAAGGCTATTCAGGCCTTATTATTCCTTGAACTCCCTGATTTTAAAGAGCAATAACCCCACTATCACTTTGATATAAACAGTGATCCTTCTGCTTTCCCTAATAGTGACACCAAAGCCAAAAAGTTGCATAGATTCAGGCTTAGAAGGATTAGATCAAACACACACTCACAGATGTTGTATATTTCTTCTCAGCGTCCACTGTTTGCAGTTAGGATGATTACATAACTCAGTCAGGTATGAGGCAGTGTTTGAAGGACACCATAACTTCTCTTGTGGTCCTGCTGTCAGCTCCCACCTTGAAATGGCAAATAATACTTTTACACCTTTGGCTGTTTGTGAATAAAGTAGAGTAAATGTCCTTCCCATTCTCTCCTCTACTATGTAATCTGCAAGCCTTTGTTTACCAAATGCATGAGGTCATGATAGAGACAGACTGCTGAGGGCTTTGTTCAGGACTGGCAGGGCTGACTCATTCTAATGGAAAAGCAACTGCAGGTCTGCAGGTGAACACACCTGTTTTTGAACAAAGCCCCCTTGTGAACGCTGGCAGAGGGAAAGAAGCAGGGGAAGGCCAGAATATGTCAGCACAGACATCTTTGGAGAAGATGAGGGGGCACAAGTTCACATCTGTAAATGTGCTTCTTTTTGCATCACTCCAGTTCATGTGAAGGCAGGTCGACTCTAGTGCTGGAGTCCCATTTCATATTCACTTACTGGCTTTGTAGTTTTTTTTAATCATCAGCTGGTACCTTTGCTTCGCTTTATTTTCTGATAACCTTGTCTTCAAGGATCGCCAGAGATTCCCCCTTTTACTTAAAACCAAACACGACATCCACTTTAGACAGTGCTCTCTGAACCTCAACCTCAAATAAAGACATGGACTAGAAGCTGTTAGTTACAGTCTATTTTTTCCACATGCGGAGGAGTGGTGCTTATTACTAGCCACGGCCTGAGGGAACAGTTGTACAGTACTTACATAAGCATACGACTGTATATTTTACTGTCCCAATCTGATTGTAGGTTTAGATTTTTCCTTTGATTTGATGCCTTCTGGTGTGTTTAACAGACGAGACATAAACCTGCTGTTCTTGCTCTCTCTATTCTCTTAGAGTGGAAACTCTGAAGTCACCCTCCCCCCTCCTCCTCCGACAGCAGCTCACCACAGCACTCTGGCACAGGAAACCCAGAGAGGGATGGAGTCATATGCATTACATCATCTCTCAGGCATGTGGAAACGATCTCAAAAACTGGATCTGATTAAAGGGTGCATATGTGCACCCCCAAAAGGGCCTGTCTATCAGTCATTAAAAATACTGTCCTGGAGATTTGGCAACAGCCAGCTCTAAATCTCCACTCTAAGGATGGCAACGTGAGGCTGTTGCTCAGTCAGTGGACCACGTTGGTCAGACTCAAATATCTCAATGTACAGTACAGACATTCATGGTCCCCAGAGGATGAATTCTACTGACATTGATAATCCACTGACTTTTCCCCTGGCACCACCGTCAGGTTGACATTTTTGGTTTTCAGTCACCAGGTGTGGGCTGGACTGCCATGAAAGTTCACAGTCCCTATGAAGCCTGCTGACTTTGATGATCATCTAACTTTTCCTCTAGTCCCATCATCAGATAAAATGTTTAATTTGTATAATACTTTGGTGTGTGACCAAATACCTGCTAAACTAAAAACATTCCCATCAGCCTCTTTGTTTTTAGTGCTAAATGTCTGCACTGAGCTCAGAGCAATGCTGTGCCTTAGTGCAGCCTCACAGTGGCTTTAGAGAAGCAACCAAGTTTCTTTATAGACCTTGGGAAAAAAAACTAAGCACAACCTAGCACCACTTACTTTAAAATATGTGGAGCTTTCAGCCACATTTGTTGGCCTTCATCCGTGAGTGGAATTTACTCCTTTAGGCAACACCTGAGGAAACTCCCCCTGCTGATGAAACAAGAAGCTGAAAGCTATGAACTTTCTCCAAAAGCGAATGTTGTGCTTAGAATTATTTTTGTCAAATGAATCTGGAATAAGGCTTTATTTAATCATTTTAATTAAATATCAATTAATTAAAAGGGGGAAATTGGGTCACTAATTTATACCTTATTGACACATTTTAAGGATTTTGAATTTAAAGAAAGACAAAACACAAAAAAAGTACATAAAAACATTTATTGTTGAGGATGTCTTATATTCAGCAGTGCGTTTTACCAGTCTTGTGGTTTTGTAATAGTACATATTCCTTATGTTGAGTCTACACCTGGGTTTTGATTTAAGGTACAAAAAAAATCTCAGCAGTGAGTTGTGTAGATTTATGTGGTACACACATAAAGGTGTGTGCATGTGTGTGAATTTGAGATGGCATTTTACAATTAATATACATACAATATTATGAATCACAGAATATTATTAACAAGCCCAAGCAAAGAAGCAGTTTTCCACTTTAGCTGACTGTCCACCAGCAAAGCACAGTAACGTAAAAACAAAAAGGTTCAGCAAGAAATACTCGCAGATATGGTCATGGAAGAAGTACACAGATATAAAACATACTAGTCTTGTTCCAGGAATGTGAGGCTGTTAAGATGAACATTTTTGGTCGATAGAAACATGATGTTCACACAATTGATGACTTCATGCCAGCATATTGTTCCTATTACACATAAACAGTATATACAAGTTTCAAGTAACTCCTGAATTAGTCCTGTTATTCCCATCTCAAGCAAGTCAGTGTACCAGTTCCGTTTGAGGCACACATCGCATGCTGTCATCTGTTGCACAATGAATGACATGCTACTGCTCAGATGCTGCTGAAAGCCAAGTGAAAGTGATTGTGTGAGGGAGAAGGAGAAGTAAAATTTAATATCTGTGGAGAGGTGCCGTTCATAGAAACATTTCACAAGTAGTCGCAACCTGAGAAGTAAAACTGAGAAGTTTCACACAAACTATTTGCCAACCCTTCCTCACATCTCATTGAACTACTTGGTGAATATTTATCCATAAATGGCCCACAAATAGGAATGTAATGGCATGGTAAAAATCTAAAAAAAAGAAAATAAAAATGTCTAGGTCATTGTTGTCAACACACAGACTCCTTTCCCAGATCTGTATTGTGAGGAAGTGACTGTAGCTAACAAAGCCAAGTCCTGAACCAATAACCACTGAGTCCAATATTGATACTTTAAGCACTGCATGTGTTAGTCTTTGGCATGGTTAAGCATCAGAGAAACCTCGCATGCTGACCTGACATTTATAACATTATTTGTGACAGCAGGTCAAAGCCTCTTCAGTCTAGCATGGAGTTGATATCCTGTTCTTTTTACAGTATAATCGAACTTTTACTTGATCTGAAATAACAAAACCTAGTTAGAATTTCCTGTTAAGACATACAAGTGATCACATTAACCCACATCAGAATTTGCCAAAACAAGATTTAGTTAGAATGAATCTGGAAAGCAATATAAAACAGTATGCACTGATACTTACAGTATTATATGAGGGGACGAGCCAACAGTATCTAAGTCAAGCATCCTCTCTTAGGCTGACTACAGTATAAGGCCAGCACTAACTAAGAAACTTCTTGCACACACCCACCATTACGCACACCAGCCCGACAGTCATGCTGGCTTTACAAGGCAACTCAACGACATCTGCAAACCACACTGCTCATGAAATGTACAACAGTGATCTCACCATTACTGCACCGTGCTGACAGTTATTACGTGGTAGCAGGCAGCGGTACAGTCAGACAGGGTTTGCAGGCCAGTAGTCGTGGCCTCAGAGCTATTCCCATCACCCTAATGACTAATTCTGTTGGTTCAAGCTGGGAAGCTTAAGCCTCAATAGCAAACTATCATGGTAGAGGATACAGGATTTTCTCAATGTTAGTTATCGTTTTTACAAAGATGTTATTGTTGTTTCTGTTACTTGGTAATGTTCATGTTTATTACACATGATTATAGAATGGTATAAAAGGAAAAAAAGCAAGTAAAAAGTCTGGACAGATCATATAAAGGCTCAAACAAAGGAATAGCTGAAATGAAATGACTAAAAATTTATCAGATTTACACCTTCAATAACAACATAATAATAAACAAAGGTATGAACATGTGAATGGGAGAGGGCAATTCCAGTTATTTCCCTTCTTCTCAGATGTTTGTTCTGGTTGAGCGTGCCTTGCCCCACAGTTTGGCACAAGACTAAAGTTTCCACACAGTGAGATGAGACCAGGGCATTGGCTGAAATTATTCCACATGGTGAGATGAAAAACAAACAGGATTGGCTGGGAGACAGCGTGGGCTCCGTTCCTACAGGTCACCTTCCACTCGCTTCCTGCGGACTAGAGAGGAAAAGCAGAGAGGAAAAGACAAAAGCATGATTTTTTTTCCTTTAAACTAATAAAAAATAAAAAATTGACTGAATATAAGAAAATAAAATAAGAATGAACAACTGCAGACATGCAACACAACCTTCAACCTCCACGGGCCTGTTAGTTTATCATGAAAAAACTATGTGAGTCATCATGAGCTATGCGGTCAAAGTTTACAGCTATTTCAACAGCGTGTCAGCATGAACAGAAAACAAGAAGTAAGATGTCGTCACTCTCAAAGCTCTACGATCACACCGTGTCAGTCTTCATTCTGTTAATGCAGTGAATGCTCCATTCAAACACCGTGAAGGAAAATCGCCGTTATCATTGATGCATTGACACATTTTGTGACCACACCCATGCATCAGACCTGTGCTACTGCGGCTCTGACAGGAGGAGGAGCTAAAAAGAGAATAGAGGTCGTCACTGTGGATTGACGCTACCGCTGAGATGTTTCATATGGAAACATCACCACAATTTGTCATGATGCAATCTCCCATATAAAAAGATACCAGGTGGAAGGCAATGTAATGCACAGCAACTCACCCGGCTTTTGCAAGTTTAAACAAATCGCAACTCGTCGTGTGTGTACAGTATTGCGTGCGTGCGTGTGTGTGTGTGCATCATACCCAGGTCGTTGTTCTTGGTGATAGCTGCGGCAGCTCTGGAGCGAGGTCCTTGCTGGGTGAAGTGGTAGCCAAACTTGACTATGCTGTTGTTCTCTTCCAACATTTTAGCTATCTCCATCTCTATAGTCGTACCCAGCTGCTGCCTCTGAAATCCACACACATGTACAGAGGTCAAGATCTGAACATCAGAGTCAGAGCTTCACTTTGGTTTAAGGCAGAATAGACTCAGACCACAGGGATATAGTTTAGTTTCTTTTCCACTACTTGAAACTCCCAACTAGTCTTTTATGTTTTATTAAGGCAGTGGTTTGTGTTAGTTGGCATTTTCTTCAACTGCACGGTACATAACAAACATTTACTACTACTTTTGGCTGTGTGAAACCACTCTACTTAAAATAGTGCAAAGACTTCCTCTGTCGTAAGTTCCTTGTAATCACCAACAGTGATCCGGAATGATGACAGCAGCGAAAAACAAGTGAACAAGGAGAATTAAAGTCATAATCTATAATTTCACACAAATTTCTAAAAAATATAAACACTCTGAAGTATTGTCTATAAATCTATGGGGACCCCAGCAAGAGCAGTCACAGTTACAGTGGCTAATGGGGATCTAACTACGTAAATAAATAAATCTAAACGTTCCTGGTGTGTTGGTGCAAACATGTGTGTCACAAATCATCTGGTACCTGGTTGTCTATCTTGATCTCGGTGAGTGTGTCATTGTCTCGCAACGCATCCACCAAAGCCTGCACCCCCGCCCCAGTGATGAAGTTGGACTCCAAGTTCAAACTTCGCAACGTCTTGTTCTCCCGCAGCATGTCGCTGAACGCCTGGGACAAGGAAAAGGGAAATAAAGCAAAGGCATTAATATGGAGTTTGTCAGGTGTCAATTAGGTCATTTAAAAGCCTGCACACCACTCCCTCTCACCACAGCGATTGGGTCGTTGCTCCGTGTCGCTGCCAGGCTGAACTTCTTGACTTGCGTGTTCTTCTCCATGGCTTTGGCGAAGTCCTTCAGAGTGGGAATGGGAATGTTCTGAAAAAAACAAAAACAAAGACACACTGCCGTCAGCCCTGGGATAGACAAGCATATACACACTCTGAAAAACTTGTGTTTCTGTGTACCTTAATGTTGTTGAGGTTGACCTCTGTTAAGGAGCTGTCGTTGCTTTTTATCCTCTGCAGGGTTTCTTCTACATTAGTGGGATTGGGAGGTTCATCAAACACCGGATTCATCTTCTCCCCTTTGATCACATCTAGAAGAGACACGGGCAGGGCTCAAGATATTGATCGTTTTGGGACCTTTAAACTAACAGTTAAATTCTATGATTGTACTTACTGTTGTAACCCTCCTTAGCTCCAGTCCCATCATATGTCTGACTGCTCGTGACCAGCGTGTGAACACCCAGGATCGCTGCAAACAAAAGCAAACCCGAGACTCAGTAGCTGTGGTGAGAAATCAGTGTGTACGCATGTGTTTCCCAGGGTTCAAAAATGCACCAGGAAGTAAATGAAAGGTCACCAGATCTAGAGGTCATAGCTGACAAGTGGTGTTATTTTGCTCAGTGAGCAAATTATTCCCCCATCAACACACACAGTCAAGGATGGAGCCATGGGAAACACAGTCAGAGTGAAAGGAGCTTGTGTTTTACAGTCCGAGCAGAGACTGGGCTCAGGCAGACTGAAAGTGTCTCACAACTACAACACTGTGTTTACAACTTCCTTTACAAAGAAACCCTCATATATCGTCATGTTTTAGAGAGTTTTAACAATGACTTCTTAGTTTTCCCGAAGGTGTTCTTCATTCATTCTTACCTGCTAGATCACACAGTTCTGTGTCTGTGGCGCTGGACAGGGCTTCCTCCAGTTCTGGATCCAGGGTTGTGACTTCTTCTTGGCGCATTTCTATTGGTTTCTGCTTAGGAACAAATACTTTACCTACAGAGAAAGAAAAGACACATTTTGTAAAAAAAATTCTAAACTCAAATGAGGTGATTCATCTCTCACAAAAATGTGCAGGCATAAAATTACTTTAATATCAACACAGACGGAAGAAACGAGTACGGGTACACGCAGGATGGGTAAAGAAACGTCTAACTGTTAACTGTCAGGTTAATGTGACTCGTTATTCTTCTCCAGCCATGTATCTCTGGCCACTACATGTTTAACTTTTTCTCTTTGACATCAGACGGCACACTTCACAGCAGGACTTTTGAAATGATCATCCCTCTGCTTTGCTCTTGAGCTTTAATCTCTCACTTTAACTTATTTCTAAATTGTGCCACGCCGGGCTTGTTTTCTAAAATCCATTAAATGTTTCATGCTTTCTCGTTTCATGCACAGAGATTGAGCACAGACCAGACAGACAGGTTGTAGATACTTATTTTCACTTTGACATTTACAGTATTTGTTTCTGTTAGTCAGTGCAGAATAATGGTAATGTTTCTGACAAAGTGAACAGCAGAAATGTGTTGTTTAAGTAAGTCTGGGCTTCCTGCTGTTTTACACAACCTTTCCCAACCATCAGAGGTTCAGACGAGCCAAACTCGAGTCCACCAATGACTGTCTGACAACTATGGTATTGCCATGGCAACCTATGTGAGTGAAGAAACGGAAAAAGCGAAGGAAGTCATGGAACAATGACTTGAGTCTAATCAAGACTGCGCTGCTGGGGCAGCAAACACTTGCACTTGACGGGGTGACCATGCAGACTCACTATATGCCTGTGTCCTTAAACAAAAACACCCCGAGAACAGGCCCTCCCTCCTTCCCTCCTTCCCTCCTTCCCTCCTTCCCTCCTTCCAAGTCAGTCAAGCCAGTCAAATTGCTCAAACTGGTCCCTAGTGGGGGGCTCTGGCACTTCCTGAAAGCCAGTAAACAGCAAATACAGTCATCAGGCAACATCCTGTGCCAGTCCCTCTGGAGCGACATTTAGCCCTTCAGAAGCAAGAGCCAAGAAACTGACAGCCCCAACGTCTTGTCATTCGCATGATCCCACAGGGGCATAAACCATGGACTAAATGAGGAAAACATTGTACTAATGTGGAGGGAAAGCAGGCTCCTCACCAAAGCAGTCTGTCTGTGACAGGAGGATCAGGAGGACCACACAGATGCAGAAAATGCTGACACTCATGATCCCAGGAGAAACCTGATCACATAGCCCCTTTGAAAATATGCATTCCATCACATTAATGCAAAAAAAAAAAAAGGCCATAATGTTTTCCAGTTAAGACAGCAGATTTTGTGATTCATCACTGCTATTTGTCTGATGCAATAAAAATTAGACAAATAATACATCATCCTGGTTGTAAATTGAACTTTGCTTATCTATTAAAAACAAGACAACAGCATGGACCTTAAAAGATAATTCCAATTTATTCCAGCTTGGGTCTTTTTTTTCCTGGAAATCATTTCTAAGAGTCATGATAACATTTTACTAGCTGCTGAGTAAGGATCTCCTGATCAAGTTTGTCAGGCCCCAATCTTAATGCCAAGTCCCTTATTATTAAATACCTGATACTGAGTCCAATCTGATAAGCAACAGTCAGTGCTGCTAAAAACCAGAGGCTACTACCTGAATGTTTGGTGCATTTTTGCAAGGAGAGGAGAGATACAGAGCTATACACTCGTGTTGCTAAATGCTTGCGCTATAAGTTGTCATATAGGAGAGCAGCGCCGCAAAGCTAGCAGGCTGAGGTGGACAAAATAAGGCAGAATACAGTCAAGAACGGATCAGATTTTGATCTGCTTTATTTCAGCCAGTAGCAGTCGACCCAGATCGACCCTGAAACTGATCCTTCACATTAGTTTCAGACATCTCGACTGTTGATGTGGGAACAAACTACAGCAAAGTCAGACGAGGTAAAAAACATAAGCATCCAGAAAATCAAACAGGCTGTAAGCAAACAGTTAAAACATTAAAGTATTTGGAGGTATGACTGAAATTGAGCACATCCAAACGACTGCATGAATGGTAATAATCCCTAATTGCACAGAATTGCTGTGGCCACACAACTTAAGGTCAGCTGAACTGCAATGGATGACAAGTGTTTGGCATTTCTGCTTAAACTGAGGACCCAAAACAATTATTCGACTATCAAAATAGTTGCAGATTATTTTCCTCCGATCAACTCATCAATTAATCGTTTGTTCACCACATTACTAGATCACAGCAGTTGACTCTGTGAGGTGATGATAGGAACGAAGCAAAAACAAGAGAAATACAATACAGTGTCAGTTCCCTGTCACACATGGCCGCTTAATGACAAATGCAAATGCTTCTATTGTCAAACAAGCAAATTGAACACTGGAGGCATGTGGTTCGGAGCAGATGAGTGTGTGTTTTCACTGGTGCAGCAACCACACCCTCCACTGTAACCTCAACAAACATGATGTTTATCAGTCTTCAATGGAAGCGTGCCTCGAGTGCTCCAATAAATGTGACATAGTAATACATATTCCTTTACCCCCACACATGATGATTAACTGTGCCCATTTTAGACCCCACTGGAGAAGCCACCAATAATGTGCCCCATTGAAAACACAATAATAACCAGTTTTCAGCATTTAATAAACTTCAACCACTATCCATCCAGAACAGAACTTAATGTTAATAATGTTGGCAAACCCCGAGGAAATAAACAACGAACAGAAGGAATGGACAATAAGAAAAGATGGATTAGAGGACTGACGTAATATGATAACATTCAAGTACTTATAATGGTTGCCATGGTATTTAAGCAGGCTGTTTTCCTCCCAAATTATGAAAGGAGACACACACACCCATGACCACATTATTTATCAGCAGGGGGTGAGTGTAACAAGGGGAAGAGAATCAGCTACATACCACAGAACCACCAGCGTGATTTGAGTTTTCCATGTTGTCATAGGGTGTGCACACACGTGCGCACACACACACACACACACACACACACACACACACACACACACACACACACACACACACTCCTAGAGTATAATTTCTAACAAGACAGGGTTGGGCCGGGGGAAGATGTCAGTTCCATATATCCTCTCCAGCAAGGGAGTCATATTTAGATCTCTGGAGATCCCAACACAAGGAATTCCTCTGGAAAAGAATTTCTTCCCAGTACTGTTTCTACTCTACTCACTTTTCTTCTTATCTGCCATGCTGTCACATAAAATATCTCCTTTTTTTTATCTCTTGTACAAAATGACGACCACAAGTATGTCCTAAAACCTGTTTGAAAAGAACTGGATTCTCTCAAGAAAGTCAGGTTCTTTCAGTTTTAACAGCAACATTAATCCCATCTGGATCAGCACTGACTATTTATTTCATCTTTTTGTGAAAACAAATTCCTGTCACAAACATCTACTGGGTTGTGATAAAGCTGAAGAAAACATCAGACAAGTATATTCCCCTTTGGGTAGACAACTCCATGAAATCGCAGACTGTTGAAATGATGATTCATCCCGCATTCAATACCTTGTGTGTTTTCACTCTGATACTACAGGCTCAGCTGCCTGCTAAAAAGCCTGATTACATAACTCTGCCAGTATCACATACAACCACTTCGAAATAACTGTAAAACTAAAGATCATGTCTTTTGGCATTAGGACTTTATTGTATCATTAAGACATGATACAAAGGTCCACAACTTGACTTCCCAGTAATGAGCAAAGCCAAACAAAAAAAAAAATCTATTGACATTTTTTGTTGACATAAATCACTCCCATTCAAATAAAGCTCTGACTTGCATAGTATCCTCTGAAAAATACACAGCCTGAGCTTCAGTCTTAAGCACATCAAGTCAAGGTTTATTGATCTCTTGAAACCAAACTGGTAAAAAAAAAACAAAAAAACAATACATCACCACAACATCAATAAAGAGAGATTCAAGATATCTAATCCTAACCATGCCGCCTCATTTGACACTCCCTACTTCCTATCCCCTGGTACAAACACACCTCCCCCACACTGCTGTATGTTGCATAAGAGCAGACATGCATTAATAATTCCTGCAAAGAGAGCAGAACAGTAATTACTGCTGTGTCTGTGCTGTTGATACAGACACAAACACACACAGACACTCCTTGGTTCTCAACCCCCTGAGAAATACATTACCAACACGTGATAGAGCCACACCACTCGTGTTGTTTATCAAAGTGAGGCAAACTACGCTAAATATATCATCACTACTGGAATTAGCTGAGTTTCTTACTCATAATTTCATCTACAGCACTTGACTGCTCTTTTCTCATTTGCAAATCATCTCCGTTGTCTCAACATTTTAACAAAAAGCATGTCAAATTTGTCTTGCTCCTATTGGTCAACATCAACGTCATACTAGGCGAGAGGTGGTAAAAAAAATTCCGACACACTAGTCTTCGTGTCTGGAGGCTTCCCAGATGTGGCATCAGTTGTCATCCACTGTGATACACTATATGAGATGAAATAATCAATTGTTACATCAACACCCTTTTTAGTCCTGACACCCTACGTCTGTTGAGTCGGGCAGTTATCAGGCTTTTATATTGTGCAGTCTAAACCGGCATAAAAGGGAAGAAACCTCAGGAAGAGCAACAGAGGAGAGGTTGCTCTTCCAGGAGACGAGTAATCATTCAAAAAACTTTAAAACAAACAGATTCTCATCATCCATCCATGATTTTAAGTCAGTGCAAGTTTTTAAGCATGCAAATAATCATGTTGAAATGACCTTCTTTAAGTTATGTTTGGTGCTCTATCATGGAAAGGTGTAGAAACACACATACACACACACCTTTTTTCTCTCCAGTGAAGGGGACTATATCCTCTCTGTCCTTGTATTCCATGGCTTCCTTCTCCAGGTATTTGAGCAGACTATCCCTGTTGAATGGTCCTGTAGCGTCCTTGCTCGTCTGGTCCTTCTGACGTAAACCTGCTGGGAGAAGAGCATTCTGGGGAGAGGAAGCAAGGAGACACGTTAGACCTGCCAACTGATGGAGAATTCAGGACACTCACTGGAGACCTGAAGTCCTCGATCCATGAACTGGTAAATGATTAACTGTGTTTTTAAGCTGTAAATATATCCGTCTGCCTTCTGAAAAAATATCTGTTCATTCCAATATGTAGACATTTCTGAAACTGAATCATGCATTTAAAATAAATAAAGGGAAAAATATTTCAGTGTAGAGCTTCAGTTTCATGTGGAAAATAGACATGAATTTCAAGTTCCTCAAAACAGGAAGTAAAGATACTCTGAACTAGTTTAACTTGATGCGTGTCAACCAAAACCTCAATGACTATAAAGACTGACATAAAAATGCAACCAATTATGGACCATTTGTCATAGCTGAGTGAAAACCCGGGGGAGGTGAAGAAGGATGTGTGAAAATAGAGGAAAGCTTGTCTAGCCAGTTTGTGCACACTGCTGCTATTGAAACCAAAGCACTTCTTTTTGTGTGCATACCAAATTTCACTTTGGCCTATATGATGATATCCAGAAATTAATATTTTCCCACTGCTGCTGACTGTTTCCTGTGGGCCCTGTGTGGCACTCAGTTTATATGGGCTTAAAATAAAATATCCAGGGGCCTGGGAGGGATTTCATTATACTCTACAGCTCTACTCACAAATAAACACACAAACACTTGGCAGCCTGTTGACAGAGTTGTTGCAGCCCAGACTCGCCCCTTTAAATTATTTTCCCCTAACCACAGAGGCTGGAGACTGGACGGTGTTGTTGGAGGGTACAAAGGAAAAATCCACCCTTGGATTTGAATTGGGTAGATTTGAAGTTTAATGTATTCCAGGAAGTTTAACTGTGATGACATGGTATAACATATTTTTTATCTGCTTCAGCCATGCTCCACTGGCTACCATTCACATACTATGATACCAGTGACTTACTACAACCCTGATGGTGGCATAAACTTGTCGGTACCAGGTAAAACTTGGTGTCATTTTTTAAATGTTTTGAAAACCGGGGCATGTCTAATTTGTAGTTGTGTCATTTATTTGCGGGAAAGCAAAGATGTTATGAGCATTTTGAGAGCGTAAAATGCATGAAGTCTTTTTCATTCTTAAATGGGTCATTTTCCAATAATTCCCTTTGCCACAGGAACTCCCTCCCACTAAAGAGCCCTGGAGCTCCTCCAACCCTCACTGAGCTCTGACCTCAGGATCCATCTCCTCGAGGGCTGTCTCCAGCTGTTTGAGCTCCTCCGCCGACAGTTTGTTGAGGATTTCATCTTCGTCGAGATCCTTGTACTTGTCCAGGTCCTTCTTGTACGACAACGCCATGGTGCCAGCTATAGTTTGCTAAGCAACACTGAGCAGCAGACCACAGCCAGACTGTTCCTTCTTGGGCTCACTGCTCCAGACCGGGGGGCGGCGGGAGGCTACCTGTAGATAAGCACTGGGAACACACACAAATAAATGTTCATGATGATTCCTTTTACTTAAGCTAATTAAAACAATGTAATATAATTAAATCTTGTAAACTGAGATAAACATTGTTTATCTCATCCCTGTGAAACAATAGTTGGCCACAGCTGGGCTTGATAATGAGGCCTTGCAATGATGCAATGTACACACAGCTGGAACAAAGGAAGAACTTTCTCAGGCTCAGACAAAATCATCTGACCACTCCCATGAGAATCACCAACAACTCTATGTGAACACCAACTTTGTTCTAATTTAGGGAACATTATCAACTCAAAAGACAAAACAAAGAAGCCTGTTCTCGTGGATATGAAAATGTATGACTATGTTTTTCTTCTTGGGACTAAATGCCTGGACATAAAGCAAACTCTAACAGTGGCAGGAAATACTGGAGCAAACACCAAGTAGATTTATAAGAACATAACACCAGTTCAGATGAAATAATGCTCAGATAAATGAGTGAGTTAGGGAGTGAGTACGTATCATGTCAAACAAATTAATGAGGCCTCAGCTTTCAGTTCCCTCTCCCACGCCACAGTCTGAACACAAAATGACCTCATGATGTCCCTGCAGGGCAGCACAGATGGTCTTAGTCCCTATCACTCACACACATTTAGCTGTACACACAATTAAATTGACACTTGCACTCTCCCAAACAGCTGGCTCATGGTAGAGTCAAAAAGTAACTTTTCAAGGTGAATAAAATAGTGTTTGTGTATATACAGAAGAGCCATAAGCCCTTAACTGTAGTTGCTACCTGTAAATTACTTAGACTACGAAGAAATATTCCATCAAGAAAACTCATTCATGTCAAGTGTAAAATACAGCACCATATCTAAACTCTGTGACAGCAGAAAAAAAAAAATACCCCGTGCTTCAACTCGGTGGTTTAGCCAAGGATTCTTTAAACATTTAGTGCCATTTCCCCGGAGCTGCCCGAGTGATTTGTCCGGCTCAGAGGAATTCTGCGAAAAGTCTGACACAGTGTGTGTCTCGTATCGTTCAGTCCTTTGTCTCCACAAACCAGGCTCTGTCCTGGGCTAATTCTTGCCCTCACCCCATCCATTAGACTTCTACAATTACCCTTATCTTGTCCGAAATGATTATGAGAGTCATGGCAGGGGCATTCGCAGCCTTGCGCTCCAGCAGATGAATTTGGGCTAAAAGGTCAACACTAACACTAACAGCTATAATCAAAGCGTATGAATATAATGATCTGCAATAATAATCTCACTCTAATGTTCTGTTGTAAAGTAGTTTAATCAGATCCTGGAGAACAGAGTCAGTACAGTGCAGTGATGTGTAGCAAACTGCTACTGCTGGATATCACCACTAGTATGAAGCAAATCAGCCACTGGAGCTGCGATGAAGCTAAGCTAAAGGTGGTGGACAAGTATGGTGATGAAACAATGGAAATTAAAACCTGGCCCAAGTGAGACTGTCAGGCTGTAAAATAATGTCAATAAAATATCAAAATTGAATTTATACAGATTTACAGAAGAAAATCCTAGAAATTACATATGGGTGAAATCAAATCAGAAATCCATATTTGTGAAGAACCATGAACACACAGCACTAAACTAGAGAACCGACTTGCATCCAAATAAGTTTTAACTTAAAAATTCTATCTGACTGATTATCCATCCAAATCGTCTGAAAACTATGAAAACAAACACTAGAGCAGCCTTCTGTGTTGAGCTCATCGAACAGCAGCAGGATTTGTTTCTCGTGATATCACTACAAGCCTGTGCTGGCTTGTTTCTGGAAAGAGGAGTTTTGTTCATCTTTTATAATCAACACTGAGATGACCCCCAACACAAAAAAAACATAGTTCTTCATTGTAATGAGCATATTCTGTCTTTACATACTGCCAGGTTTGCAGAATCTAAAAACATGTTTGATCTATTCTGCCAAAAAAAACCCTCATGTCCAGACCCAACTCTTGTCATTTGCGTCCACACAAGTAACATCTTTACCCAGACAATCGTGATACTTGTGACTTTATCCATGTGCAATTCTAAACAACAGGTTTATGTGCCCAACAGTAGTGTACATGTCAGTGAAGGAAAGCTCAAGGTGAGTGCAGAGTGCAGCCAATAATACTGCAATAATACTGCAAGTATTATTGGCTGAGATGTGCAGAAGGCAGTGATGTGATGACATTTCTGGCCAGGATCTGCAAAAAGCAGAGATGCCACGCCAGAGCCTGGGATAAACACACTTGCACACACAAACACACATATAATGCTCTTATGACAACATCAGCTCAAAATAACACGGTTTACCATATTATCCTACTTTCTCAAAAACACTTTCCACTTGGCTGACACGTAATTCAGCACATTTAAAACAGCAGCCACCGTTTACAGTGAGGCCCGGTGCTTTTGTGTGTGCAGAGAGAGGAGTAATCGAATATGCAGACAGGGATAATGATGGCAATGGGTGGGTCCAGGCTGAGGTGGAGACACTGAGAGGATCCATTAGTCCAATCTGATTGATTCCTTTCTCCTTCTCCTCTCTGTTAATCCTTCAAGACAACAACAGATGGCTCAAAGCCAATAATACTGCAAACCTGTCTGCACTCTACATTCACCTTGAGCTTTCCTTCACTGACCTGTACACTTCGGCTACTGTTGGGCACATGAACATGTTGAGAATTGCAAAAGAACAGAGTCACAAATATCACGATAGTACAGTAAGTTCACCAGACGGGCTGGATGTTTCGGGATGAATTTTTCCCCCAGAATGCAATAACAAGTCTGAAAGGACAAGTGATAAAAACCTCAATGATTTACACAAGGCTGTAAGATGTATTATCACGATGAACCTACCTTAATAGATGACTACCTCCAGCAAAACTTATCCCTGTGTTTAAGTGAAGTGTCTGAACATGTTTCAGGTCAAACATCCAGGTTTTGTCTTTCAAAGATCTGATGTTGACAGGCAAAATATAAGATCATTTGGGCCATTAAGCATGTGATATGATATCAGCTTCTATCCTAAATATCTCTGGCTTATATTATATAACTCTTAGCTGCTAAGAAAACATTAAGTTTAACTCTGTAAAGTATAATTCTTGCAATTAATATCCAGATTCTCTGTGCTACTTTAGACCTCAGAGGCAGTAGCTGATTGAACAGGAGTTTGCAGTTCTGACGTGAACAGGAAGCACTGAATGGTTATTACATTATTATAGAACACCGCCCTACCAATGCACAAAAAGACTATAGTTAGAATGACCCAGCTCTACTACCCCTGGGACAAGAGTCTGCACTTCCTCCTCCCACCTACTCTCCTCCAGTTTTAACATCTATCTTTCCGTCTCTCCACCCCTGATGTTACTCAGTTCTCATCAATCCTTTTTATGTTCAGCCTCCTAAGGTGCCTGCAAGTGTCAGAAAAGATAGAAAACACTTAGAAGGAGACATCCTGTTACTAAGATATATTCACTACAATACACAAAACAAGTAAAAACAATAAGATACAGGTGTCATCATGAGGATAAAAAACATTTAAATAGTTTTGTTGTTTTATACATTTATGTTGTTCATTCACTTATTCTTCTCTTGTACAGACCAGGCAAGTGTTGGGTAGAAAGTGGGGGGTTTCTCAAATACGCATGACATGTATACTCCCCTGTTCTAGCCACACACTCCAGACACACACTCCATTATATAATGAAAACAGATTTCAGGGAGTGCCCTGCCTTTCAGTTCAGCAAGGGAGTATGAATAATACAAGTTCAAGACAGATTGCCCCATTCACACCTTTGTAAAAACTAATAGCAGCCACTATTCACTACTATGGCTGCATTACACCGAGAGTGAAACTAGGCCCTCACAGACAGGTTTCACTCTTCACTGAAAGGTACGCAGGTTAATCAAGCCTGTTCATCAGCAACACTGTACTGCGGAAGGTAGCACAATAAGCAGCATCACCAAAAATGCCTCGTCAGCAGTGGCCACGACATTCCACTCGGTTACTATACCTGCTTCACAGCTTCAGGAAAGCCACCTGCCTTCAGGCTTAAGGGGGAAACCACACTTACCAAAGCAGACGTACTCCTTAAGACTTGGGGACCACACCCTTCATTCAAAATTGAACCCTGTGGGCCAAACAACCTTTGTGAACACACACACATAAACCGTCACCTTAGCCCTTGAACAAAGGGTGTTTCAGTAGACTTATTGACCTTCCACCTAACTAACAAGTAATACTCCTGCTAAAGCCACAGTATTTCCTTAAAAATGCCGAAACTCATATCCTGGTTAAACAGATAGACACAGATACCAGACTCATCAGAGGACACTCGATGCTGCCATAAAATGACATATCATATCGCATTACTAATGTTATACACATCAAGATATTGGTGGTAACTTGCCTGCTTCAACTATCTCCTGTAGACATAGCGGGCAACGGAACGACGTTAGCTAACATGTTCTTGACATGTTTATGATTATCACTCCGACTGTTGAGATGTTGATCCTGATTATCATCTCTTAGCAAAAGTCACCGCAAATCAATTAGCTAAGAAACATTTAAAGCCAAACCAAGCCGTTTATGGGACACTTACTTTAGTAACTTAACGACATTTGTTGGATGCGGCTAGACCATAAGAAGTAGTCCGATGGGATGTGGCTAGATGCTAACACGCTAGCCCTCAGAGTTGAGTCAAGTTGCTAGCCGTTTAGCTAAACCAGGCAGCTACAGAGCACATATGAAAGTGACAGTACGTAAACCAGTAAGGGTAGCACACTTACTGATTTCCAAAACCAAGCTATCAATTTCCTTACCTGAGCCTAATGGGACCTAGCTATAGAATCTCAGAGTAAGACCAGTTTCCCCAGTGAATGCGATATCTTCAGCGATTGATTTCTCACTCAGCCCAAGGGCGGTAACACAGGAAGACAGCAGCGGAGCGTTCTGTGAGTGACGTCTAATTGAGCCAATAGAGAGAGAGTCTGCCAGGTGTCAACCAATGGCAAAAATTAGCCCGCCCTCTTTATATAGGAGCACCAATCAGATAACAGATATATATATATATATATATATATATATATTATAGAAAAGAAAAGAGAAAAGAAAAAGGACTGAAAAGGACTGAAAATCATTACACATTTCATTTCCTGACAAACCCTAACTCTTGCACACACACACAACAAAGGGGCAAAAATAAAAAAATACGTTATAAGTAGAATGATAGTAATTAAGATTGAAGTACTTCATTATACACATAATATAGTTATATTAAGTAAAAGCTAAGTGTAAAAGTAGTGAATACACATACACACATACATAAGTCAAACACACACAAATTGTTCAGTCTTGTGTCTTTGGCTGCACCTAGAGTGAATACTTTACCTGATCTCCTTTTCACATGTAAAACCCCAAAACACATTTCTCTTTCCATCTTTCTCTCTTTTTCTCACATACAAATAAATACACATGGAGATGCAAAACACACTGTGTTCACTAAAAAGCCTACCTTAGCCTTGACCGAAAAGATCAATGAGAGCTCATCCCCTTGTGTTACACAATAGTGGAGATAGAATTTCTTGCACCCTCTTGGTTCACACAATATGTGCACTGTAACAAGATGCCTTGCATGTAACACAGACACTTTGGGAGATGTGGGTGCTGAAACTTACATCAGTAGCCCACTGCAGAATCAGATTAATGATAGTAATTATTAAGAGGTTGCAATGTACTGAGAGCAAGACTACTTTACAGTAATTTTAAAGATATCTGTTAGTGCATCAATACATAATGACTGAGGGCAAAGAAAGGGTTTACTGCTGTGTGACAGAGCACTTGGCACTTTTATGCCATCAGTTACTATCCTCTGTTAGCCTTTGATCAACACCTTTAGTCTATTATACAGTAGGCTACCTCCTGCCTCTTAGAAGCATCACAAATCTAGGATGAAAGGATTTTTAAATGTATTTTGTAGCACAGACCTTTTCTGAAAGATGTCAGTCATTCACTCAGTCAGTCAGATTCTGGTTTTGTGTTGGGGTGTCAGGCGTTTTAGGGGCAATCGAACATGGCAAGCACATTACAGACCTTTGCTGTTTAGCCAAGCATGGGTTTAGGAAAATGAGACTCAGTGTTTCAGCAGCTGCAAAGTGAAACATTATTAAGCGCCAAGTTTATATCTTCAGTCAGATGGCTTCCAACAGCCCTGACATGATCTGACCTACATGATCTGAATAATTAATAATATACCAAGGAAACCCAGGAAGACTAATCCAATAAATCTACAGTTGCTAAATGTGCATTAAAAGACTTAATAACTATGATATTTCTGTAATTTTCCCTTTGGAACTGTTCTACTTGCAAATCCACTTTGATTATTCTTAAACTATGTTTTTATATAATTCTCTATATCATCAAAAGCTGATATATGCAAAACAAAATGGTGCAACCTCCTATCCCATGCTAACCACTCTATCCTAATACCGCTCATTATTATTATTATTATCACCACAGAGAACTAGAAAACAGAGGTGTGCTTGGCTACAAACTTAAGACCCCTCTGAGCTTTCTTAAATTTAAGAGCGGGGGAAAATAAAACAGTAGAAACAGTAAAAGTAACAGGAGTAAAAGTTAATGATTTTTACTTTTATCTTTAACTGAATTCCAAACTTCTACCTTTAGAAGTTTGATAAATAAGGGCCCAGAGCCCCAGACCATGAGTTAACGTGGTATATACCGCCTCCTTGTGGCTGACAACGATCACTACACTCACAGGTCAGTCTCAGCGTGACCTCGGAAACAAAACCTTTCCCTAGTACCTCGCGCTCATTTGCTTCCCGTAGGTCACATTTTACTGTTGCACAGTTCGGAAGAAATGGCGGACATGGATGAATTGTTCGGGAGTGATGGGGACAGCGACAATGACCAGCGAGGTAACGATGCTTTTCAGCCGGTTTGTGAAGTTAGCTTACTGGGGGCGTCGAGTTTTTCGTCACGAAAAGACACAAAGTAGCTTTGAGGGAAAAAGAGTAATCGGTGAAAGTGAAACCTGGACGTTAAGAGCATGAAATCGGTAAACGTTAACTTCAGGATGTTTTTTCTAAACACGTTATCCTTGAAGGAAACGAGTTTGTTCTATCCTGGATATTTTTTTTATTGTAGCCACCGTTAATTAAAACTGCCTGTCGATGAAACGAGAAAAACTATTTGTGTGTGTTTTGACTGAAGTAACTAGAAGCTGGAAGTCGACAATATAGTCATTTGATTTCACCGGTGCAACACTGACGACAACAACATGACATTTTTTACTCAGCTTAATCTTGTCGGCGTCAGAGAGTTCACTGAATTTATCTATTTCCTCTCTATTCCACTAAGCCTTAACAGCACATTTAATCAACCCAGTGAATAAGTCACGTCTTCTCTGCAGACAACTTCAACTACTACCAGATCCTGTGGGCATATAAACAAACTGGTGTTTATATGCCCACAGGATGTAAAATATTTATTCGAGTAATGTTAATATGCACATATCCAATATGGAACCTATTCACAGTTTACATTAGGGTGCAATACATGGACAAATGCTTTTATAGTGTATGTAATTTTTAATATTAATAGTCACTCATTGGCTGCTTAATTATGTTATCTGTAAAATTTAATGCAATGCAATACAACAGCTCAGCCATAGATTTTACCTTTACAAAGATGATAATGCTCAGTTTTGAGTGACAGTGTCAGAAAGGATTATTTTAACTGAATGTTTACTATTTTTGTATTTGTATATTTTTGTATTTCGCAGTGCTGTTGTTAGTCCAAGACAGGACAACAGACCCAGTGATAATTCATATCCTGCTCTCTGTATGGTCACATGACTTTATGTGATATTTTCTCTTATTTAAGTTTGAAAGGATCAGACAGTTGACTGGAATATTTTGTGTGGCAATGAGCATGTGAATAAATGGATCTCTGGAAATATAAGTCATTACAAATGCAATGTGATCAATTTTAATTGTAAAGACTTTCTCTGTTTGAAAGGAGTGAAATCTTTCTGTACTCTTAGGAGAATAGCGTGGGTCATGCAGCGTTTTAAGGATAATGATTGGCAATCAACTTTGCAAGAGCAATTATGAAAAAACTGTAATGTGCTTTGTCACTTAGCAACCATGATTTTCCCCTGCTATCAAATGATGAGGCGTACTATGTGCCAGAAGAAAAATTCTGCTTTTTTGACTTTCAGAGTCTGGCTCTGGCTCCGGTTCAGACTCAGAGCAGGAGAGACCTCGATCTGCCAGCAACGCCTCAGGCAGTGGCAGTGACAGTGAGAGGGAACGAGATGATGATGATGAAGAGGAAGGCCAGGAGGCCGGAAAACCCAGTATAAATAAGGTATGTGTCTAGGTTTGACTGATGACACTCAGCACAAACAGTCTGGATTTAGAGTAGACCACAGTCAGACATGTTCTGCTGGCTGGCCTCCACCCTGTCCAAAAGTCACTTCATCGATCATTAAATTAATCATGTAAATTCTCTCACAGTTGTTATTTAGTCCACAGTCAAACAACATGTTAGTTATGTAGTATCACTCCCTCAATGAGAGGAGTAATAACAGCAAGAAGGCAGCTACATTAGACGCTGCTTATTATCACACCAAGAGGAAATGATCTCATCAAAAACATTGGCTTACATGAATAAAACGTCATTGTTATTGAGAAGAAAGGACAATTTTGAACCCAGGTTTGACACTGTAGAGTGTGTAAACAGTGAAATGTCAGTTCAGAAATCTCATAACATGCAGCATGCATTGCAGAATAATTAGAGGATATATAAAAAAGTATGTAGGCCCATTTTAAATGGGTTAAACAACAGAAACACTGAGATTTCATAATATACTTAACAGCATCTGCATCCAAAATAAATTTTACTGTTTGTGTGTCTGTTTGTATGCAAACGAATTGAGAGAGGTAGGGGTGGACAGTGTGCTGTAATGATGACGATCTGACGATCATCTCACCTTTCCTTCTACCTAACAGGAGCTGTTTGGAGACGACAGTGAGGACGAGCAGCACAGTCAACACAGCGGCAGCGACAACCAGTCTGAACGATCAGGGAATCAGTCAGACGCCAGTATGCACTCAGACCAGGGGGACAACGATCACTCTGATGCAGAGCAGCACAGCGGCTCGGAGCGCGGCCATCGAGATGAGGATGAGGATGACGAGGATGGGGGCCACCGTTCAGATGGAGGAAGCCCAGCTGGCAGCGGGATGTCTGGAGCTGGGAGCCCTCACTCTGAGAGAGGCAGTGTCCGTTCAGACAGAAGGTACAACACACACATAATGCCAGAGGGCTCAGGATGTCTGTGCTGATTTAGAGATTTACAGAGACTTTTTTTGTAAAACCAGACAAATACGTTATTTTGCATTGTATGTGATGTGCTTCTGTTGTGTTATCTAAAATGATCCTGCTAACAAGTATTTGCAGCAACATATATATATACTGTAGATCTTTAAAACAGGTCACAGATTTATGGTTTCACCTTTTCAAAAGTCTAAAAAAATATCATAATAAAACTGGGCACTGCAGTTTTAGCATTGCTCATTTAGCATTGGGGTAGATAGCGGATTTGCTGGGGACTAGTTTTAGTCATAGATTAATACAAATGTGATGCTCTGGTGTATGGTGAGTTGAGCCAAAATAAATGACAGTGCCTGTGTTCATGTTAATACATACATACATACATATATACATACATACATACATGCATATATATGTATGTATGTATTAACATGAACACAGATACACAAATGGGTTGCTTTAAATGTCACTTGTCCTGTAAATATCCTCCTGTAAATGCACAGTAGGGAGCAGATTATAGATTTTATTTTCTGTAATAAATTAGTTCTTTAACATCAGC